AAATGGAAAATGTTCTTGAATAAAAAATATATGAAAAAATCCCTTTGATATTTCGGTGGAGGGAAATAAGCGATTGAGCCGAAAAGGTAAGACTGTAGTTTGAATAACGATCCATTCAGCACTTCTCCAGAAATAGCGATATCAAACTATGGCTGTCAAAAACCAAGAAGGCTACTTGCCAGCCATTTAATTGTCTACCAAACCTAAGGAACACTTACGTATGAAGTTTGAAAACGGCTCATCCAGCACTTCTCCAAAAATAATGTCCACAAGCCATGAATAGCCGTTTGTCTTGTTGTTTTCCCGGCCGTTCCAAAACTAACCTACATTTTGTTAGCACAGCTTGGAAAACTTAGGAAGGAAAGTTGAGTATGATCTATCAAATGCTTCCTCAGAAATAAGATGACAGTATATGGCTGTCAATATTCTTGATGGCAATCTGTCGGCAATGTTGTTTTCTCGTTCAGGCTCGACATGGACTATGCACAACTAGGAACAAAAATGAACCAACATATGAAATTTGAGAACGGTACTTCTCTGGAAGGTAATTGTCAGTATTCAAGATGGCCACCTGTTGGGCCATATTGTTTTTTCTTTTTTATTCCAAAATGGACTATGCATAACTATGGACCAAAAGAAACCCACATGTGAATTTGAGAATAATCTATTCTCTGTTTCTTGCGAAGTGGTAGGACAATAAATATCAGACAATATTTAAAAAAGTACGTTGTAATAAAGAAAGGTGACATAGTGAGACGACAGCACAACAATATGTAGAATTACATGTGTTGTTAATGGTTTGTTCATTTGTGGTGTAAAACTGACATTCAATCTTCAACCTGAAGAAAATACATGGATCTCTCACATCTATGTCTATCGTCAGAATACTAGTTTCACCTTGAATCCTCACTCTACACTTCAAGACTCCAGTCCATGTTTCGTTGCTCTAACTGCTTCTGGTTGTTACCTGACAATTTATTGTATGAAGGGAGACAATCGATATAAGCAATGGATACGTGCGTAATATTTACATTTAAACTCGAAACAGTGCACTGTTTGCATCATAAAAGCTGCTTATATAAAGTCGTCACATTAAAAATCGTCTGCTGAAAGGCCGAAATAGCGGACGTAAGACCCTTTAGATAAATAAATAGATAAATGATAAATAAAAATATGAAAAAGATAATAATTACTTTTGTTAAATCTTTGTCTTGCAGAATACATTAATTGACAGGGGTTTCTGATACTCAATTCAAAATATTTTTTGTAACGGAGACAATCTACATTTAATTGTTTCTTTATCTTCAAAGCGATAGCTGGTTGGTGAGGCCTGTCGCTTATGCTCTACTTTTGTAATAGAATGTATTATAAATATTCTACGTGCACAATGTTACTACTGATTGCGACAGACTACATTTGAGAGAACAATATACCGACATGAAATATCAACTCTCATTATTATAAAATTGACGATACACCTGTTAACTTATTTCGTCAAATAATCATTACAAAGGATAACGTTGCATGATAATTGGACCTATATGGAGGTTGTGTGGGCGAGAAAAGATGGAACGTGTGACGAAGAGAAGGCCATATAGATTTATTTGTATGTTTGTTTGTTTGTTTAACTGTTCATTTATTTGCTTGTATGCTTGTTTGCCGGGTTTATCGCCCCGTGAACAAACAGTGTCATTTTCAAGCGGAGTATTCTTGCTGTAGCAGATACTGTATCACCGAACAACATACAGGAGGCCCATCGCATGCAACCCACAGCAATTAGGGTAAAGCGACTTATTAGAGGACACATTCTACAGCACAGACCAGTCCGTTTTCCGTTTTCTCAGAAATCAGTTTCCTGAGACACACAAACTGTCATAGTAACGGAGCGCCGAACAAAGGGTTGTGTTAGTGGGTGGGGCAAGCAGAAGGGATGAAAAATCATGTCTCATGTTTATTCTGAATCTAATTGATTAAAGTGATGATTTCATTTCAAAATGTAAAGATCTCTGTCTTAAAATAGGTGTTGTTATTTCCTTTGTGATGAGTTGGAAGAGTAGAAAATGAGGAAGAAGTGCAAAAAAGAATTGAGAAAGAAAGAATAAATTGAAGAGAGGTGGAGGGAGGGGGAGGGAGGGAGGGAGTGAGTTTATTTCTGTCAGACGGTCCTCCGTATTGTTATCTAAGGGTTGACATTCGTTATCTCACCTCATCATAATGCTGTGGTTTTTATATAATGCAATGCTGTCATATTCAACCGCAAAGTGTAATTAAATCCATATATGACGGCAGGAGGGATCTGCTCCAGCCGTGACGGGCTGACAAAAGACCGATTAGCACTACCAGAGATTCCCTACATCACGGCTCACTGCTCAGTTAGGAACATCCTAATTAAATTCCAAAACCGCAGAAGCAGCAATGATATTGAACATTTTCCCTAATTTATGTAAATAATCTTCATCATAATATCATAACAATTTTTCTGTGGGTTCTACACAAAGGCGCGATTCATCAGATTCGTTTGATATCCCGTAATAAAAACATGGAATACGCAAGTGTAGTAATTTCAAAGTATTTGTTTCCGTAATGTGATTGTAACTGTGGTGACCGTCCATCTGTCCGCGTGAATTTTAGTCCGGCTAATTCATGGTTATTGATACAAGGACTGATTTGTCACGTGACACTGTCCAAATTACCAGACAGATTTAATTGAGTCAGGTTATTATTTTCTGGGGGGTAATCGGTTTGTAAAATATTGTCGGCTGTATATAAAGACTCGCAGTGTAAAACGTCGTTTATAATGTAACAAATATTTGGACAGATATCATTTGTTTCTGTTCGGCTAGTCCCACTGGGATACCGATTCTAAAGCTAACTCCGTTTGGTGTTATAAGAAAAATCTCGTAACGCCCCAGTGGACAAAAAACATCTGAATGGCTCACGTTTGTTAATTTCTATATTTTTCTTGGCGTAAACACAACTTTGTCAGATAATTTTTTTCAACTTTCCAACCCCAAAAACGATTGAAATCTCCAAACGTTTGGCATGCTAATGAATTGGAAGAGGTCGTTTCTGCTGCTGTTGGTATTATATGTAGATAAGTCATTCTCCATACATCCAACTCGTCACCCCCCCCCCCCCACCCCCCACTAATCATAATATACTTTAAAAATGTTAGAATATTAACGATCTTTACAAGATCTAGGACGCGGTTCGTACCCGAGAAGTAGGTAAATATATTTTGCAGAATGTATTTATCTGATGACATAATGTTTAACACTATTTGTATTTCTATTTCTTTATTCATTCCGTAAGTTTTACAACTTATTGGATGATTTATAACGCACAAAATTAAGAGTATGTAAGTAATATGCATGAAAAATCATTATCGCTTCACCCATCCTCAAAAAACAACCAAACAATAAACCAATCTATCCAACCCAAGCAAACCCAAGCAAACCCCATGCAACCAATTATCGACTTGATTGTTAATTCCATGTTTCTTACAATTATTTGATGCGGCTTGGTATAATAACTATGGACAATAAAGGTGAAAGTAATTCAGCTATGAACAGTTATATAATTGAAAACGGAGAATCGTTATTTCAGCTGTCAGTGAGAAATTCAATATAAAACTGACAGGTCGTTTTTGTCTCGTCTTCCTAACGACACTCTATGTTATAACTTTCGTTTTTTTCTTGTTTTTGTTTTGTTTTTGTTTTTATTCCATTTGACTTAAATTTAATATTTTTGTGATATTGATAATTGTCTGTCATGTCGATGGATTTAATCAAATCACAATTTTTTTTTTGAAAAGTGACTTATGATTCATTCAATGAAATATATACAAGTGCACGTACACTTGTACTTGACATACACCTGTTCAATATATCTCATATTTCATTTCTTTATTGACAGGGTTATCATTCAATCATCAGGAGGTGGGGATTCCTTGTAGTAGCTGGTGAGTACATAATTGAACAACATACAGAAGGCCCGTCTCATCCAGAGCAAATGAGATAAAGCGTCTTGCCCAACTAGGACAGATTCCTGATGGAAACAAACCAACCCACCTAGAACATGAACATACACACATTTTTTTTTAAACCTTAGGGATCTGCAGTGAATAACTTAAATCAACTGGTGCAATTAGTTAGACACACAGAGTCTAGCCGTAGCACATAAAATGGAATTTAAGTTTGATGGATGGTCTTTTATATGATTGAAATAAAAGGATCAAGAAGTCCCAAAATAATGTATGTCAGTAAAACGAGGCGGGTGAAGGGATGGGGGCGTACCTGAATCAATAGATAGCTGTTTATCAAGTATGGCTGGTGGGAAGTAATTTTAGAGCAATAAATGAGAAAAAAAATAAACACACAAACAAAGAACAAACAAACAAAAACCCCGTGATTTTTGGTATATATATTTAAGTATTTAAACACTACGACAGGAAAAAATGTTGAAAATATACATGTAGGAACAAATCTTTGATGTGGATCCAAGATGTCAAATATCTTTTGATTTTTTATTTAATTCATTTATTTTTGAATGAATATATGATGTGTGTTAGACATTGTTTTTTGGTTAGTATTTGGTATTTATTTTTTTATCTATATCTAAGTTGTGTCATTCAAAGACATATATGACACATATGTTATATACGTCTCTGTGTCATTGCTGAGGTTCGAATTTGGTTGATTGACAGGTTTATCGTTTCCGCGACACCTCCAGCAGCTCAGTATCGTCTCACCGACGAACGTAAGTGTTCTGGCGACGTATGAAGTTCGAATCCTTTTTTTTTTTTTTTTTGAGCTTAACGTCCTTGTTCCGGTTATAACCGAACCTAGGACACTAAAAAGTTCGAATCCCTTCAGCCCATTCGCTTTTAGTTAACTGTTGTAGAAATCACGTGATGATCATGTGACTTGCCTGCAGTATAAAAATTACTCGAATCAATATGGCGGACTTTGTATGGTTGCCCTCAAAATAAGACGCGTGTTATGATTAAGAATCTGTGGAATCGTTGACTTGAAATATGCTTTGTTAAATCTCCATGTTATTATATATTGTCTTCTCTCCCCGGTGATATGAGCCATGGCGGTGAGGGAAGTGAAACTGTGTCTTCTGGGCGTAAGTGATTCAATGTTATCTTTTAGACCAAGTCAAACGATTGAACGTCGGAATTGATTTCCTGTTTTGAAAAAAATGTGTTTATGTCTGCACTTTATCGTCTTCGTTTTTAATCGACAGTGTTTGTAATTCTTAGTAAACCTGTAAGAAAAACTCATTACGGGGTAATCAATCATCGTAGTAAGTTATTGACTGTCTAGTCGATAATTTTCCATTGGAAGAAATGAAAGAAAAGTAGACATGTGATGCAAAGTGGTCATGTGATGGCATATTTTTTTTTTTAGATTTATGTAATATTACAATGACGTCATAAATTGTTACACATTCGATTGGTAATGAAATTTAAAAATTAGAAGTTATCTTCATCTTTTATGAGAAGAAAATTATTACCGAAACTAGGGCTATACATGTATATGTAATTATGTATCGATTGTGTACATAAACTGGACAATTTAGAAATCTTCCAATATAACATTAGTGCAAACATCAAAATAGTAAATGATGCATACATTGTGATACCATTCTTGATGTGAAACTGGTACAGGGGATCTATTCCAAGAAATACAATATATATATATATATTTTTTTTTTAACTTGGTGCAAAATTTGACTCTTTTTTTAAATTTATTTTTAATTGAAAGGAAACTGCAGTGGGGAAATCCAGTATTGTGATGCGGTTTGTCAAAGATCAATTCCGATCAGCCCTGGAAAGTACCATAGGGTAAGTTCTTATATAAAAGGTTTTTGAATTAGAGCATTGAATTTCATCTCTGAAACAAAAGCAGTATATTAACAGTAATCAAAAGACTTCAAATGGGTGCAGAATTTAATATCAAATATAATGTTATTTGCCCTGATGATATCACATACTTGTAAACCAATTCAGAGATATGTATTATTGGCAACAGTGACTTAAGGATTGTATCAGGATCATTTTTTAACTGACACAAATTTTTGCTGTTGATATAGTTATATTGATATGAAAGAAAACAACTTAAAAGAAAAATGAGAAAGTAGAGTTTTAATAGCGAAATAAACTTAAACTTGATTATAAGGTTATGATTTCACAGTTGGACACCTAGATGTCATGTTCCCAAACTTGATACTTCACTATTATTTAAGTATTCAAACGTGTCTGACATACAGTTTCACACGGTAGGCCAAGTTAATCTGATAATGATGTTTACTTCATGTAATGCCACCTGGTGGCAGGGTTGGTAAACCGTGACAAAAACAAGGGTTAAGATTGACACACATGCTCGCAGTTCACTGCCCAGTAGGTAAAATTTTATCACTGGTCAGAGCGTGGTTATAATTGTGAGGTCAATTACCGTTAATTAGTGGTTGTTGGGACTGCAAAAAGTGATCCTAATATCGAATAGCAGGGTGGACATAATACTGAAGCGACCAATACAAAGATATATAGTGAAAAAAAACAGGAGTGAAAAAAAGTGCTGATAATTGTTAGGTGGTCCTAGTTTTAATATTGTCGTTAGGTGGGTTTCACTGTGCTCGAACAGTAACTATGAGTACTAGAGGATCTTATTCTTCTTGTAACAGGGATCTGGATACCCTGATCATTACAAGTATATGAACTTAAAAAGTTTAGTTATGAAAAACAAAATTTGTAAAATTACATTTAAAAACTTGTATATAAAACATTACCATACATTACCATATTGATATTAAAAAATCAATGTTACATAACATAACTAGATGTCAATAATTCTCAATAACACAAACTGCAGGATGTCTCATATATCTATTTACAATTAATGCTTTCAACCTACTTCATGTTGACAGTGCATCATTTATGACTAAACGCGTAGAAGTGGATGGTAAACACTATGCCTTTCAAATCTGGGATACAGCAGGACAGGAAAAGGTGGGAATATTTCGGATAAAGTGAAGGAAGGGAGGTAACCCTAATAAAGACTGTGACACATATTTGTTGACAATGAATATCAGAATTTGAATCAAAATTAATTAATTGATTATTAATGATGATTATTGACGTTCGCCTGTAAAATAATAATATTTAACAAGTAATAAATCAGAGATGTTATTAATGTTAGATTAGATTATGAAAATTAATGAACAGTTCCAATGATTTTTTTTCCATATTTTGCCTTTCAATTCTTTGCATATATCAATCATTGTTTTATATGTGTTTACAGTACAGAGCTCTGGCACCCATGTATTATAGAGGGTCAGCTGCAGCCATTGTTGTTTACGATATAACAAGGGAGGTAAGCACTTCAATTTTGAATGTTATATTCTGATTTATAGTACATGCATAATAGACAGGACACTTCATAGATGTGTTCAATGTCTTGTCTGTTGTATCAATTGTTCAACAATGACTATTATAAAATGAAGATGAAGATTGTTGAAGGTCAATCTGTATATTCACCTCTTGACCCCCTTCCATCCACCACTCCCACCCCCAACCAAAAAAACAAGAAAAGGAAACTGATAAAGAAAAAAGAAGAAATGTGTCATTTGGTATTTTGCTAGTATTATAACAAATATAACATTATCTTACTTGCAAGTGATATTCATTTTTTTCAAATCTAAACTTGTTTTCCAATTAAGAGATGAATTTAAAAGGAAAGGAGGAGTGCCATTTTGGGCCTTCTGGTGGCCATGACGAATACTTTTTATTTTTTGTCTATTAAAAACTTGAGGTCAGACGGTAATGACATGACATTAATCTAAGGTCAGCTCAAGGCTGTTCAGTTGTTATAGGGGGGATGAGTGGGGGATCAAATTCATAATTATTGCAATAATTATCAAACTAAAACATTTTTTTTTAGTTTTTTTCTCTTAAATGTCATTTGATGGTATATTTCAAAACCTTCATTAGAAAAAATGACCAAAAATTATGCCATTGTTGAAAAGTAGGTCACGGTAATTAAGTGCCCTAATTACTAATTAAGTCACACTTGAGCACCGTGTTTTGTCTTAATGCATCTATAAACAATATGTTTATCACGTGCAGTGTATTTATTTGAAATATTTTTGCAAAAATGGATGATATTAAAATGGAAAAAATCAATTTAGCACCGGGTTTCACAGAATTATAAATAACCTTTGTCTATTACTTATGGGATTGTATTTTTGTTTACTGCTTTAGTAAGGGGAATGGTGGTGTTGGGATATTCATTTAGGAGTCACTGTCGCTGTCACAATCTGACCAGTTCACCACCGTCATTGCGTCATCAACACAACTAAAGAAACTTGAGGAGGCAGTTGTTTACTACTCTGGCCTCAACCTTACATTGACAATACCAGCCTGATATTGGGGTCAGTCCATTAGAATATTCAATCCAAAGATTGTACACCTTTTTTCATCTCTGGACTTTCCACAAACGAAACATCGCGATTCAGTAAGCGTAGCTCGTAGAATATCAAGTTTGATTTTTTTGGAGTCAGGTGTCTCATTCTGATGGTCTAAACCACTGTTAGAATCCTTTAATGGTTCATGGTATTTGTTGAATCTCCCTCTGCATTTCTTAGATACAGGGTCACCTAAACATAAATCTTTATTGATGTTATCTTTCATGAAAGACAGAACATCTGCCTGATTCAGACAATATATTCTGACATTATAATCTGCTTTGCAGCAAGCACACTGCTTGTGTACTGGCATTTTACAAAAATAACAAAAAGTTAATTAAAACTAAACAAAATACTATAATACTATTATATATATATGTCACACTTGTATGAATGAAATTGTATTTAACATTTTAGTGATACACAAGATATGTGCATAAGTCAATGCATGTACGAACTGCACAGAACAAAGTATACTTATATATCTGGATATACCATGTGTTACATACACTGCATTGTAGATTACTGAAGTTTGCTAGTGTTTGAAACAAGACCATTAACATTTATACATCAGGGAGATGTCATGATGTCATACTATTTCATGTTAAAGCTCTAGTGTCAAACCATCTTATTTTAAAGCTCAAGAATACAACTAATGCACGGAAGAATTATTATACTGTGAAATTTATTTGATGTTATTTTTCATACAGTATAATTCAATATTCATTTTCATTGACCGGAATAAGATAGTGACAGGTGCTCTTGCACTTTAAGTTGTAACTAGTCTATTTAAATGGCATGCCTCTCTTACCCTGACTGTAACTTCTTCATTGCTCTAATTCATGCAAAAATATTTCAAATAAATACACTGCACGTGATAAACGTATTGTTTATAGATGTATTAAGACAAAACATGGTGTTCAAGTGTGACTTAATTAGTAATTAGGGCACTTAAATACCGTGACCTACTTTTCAACAATGGCATATTTTTTGGTCATTTTTTCTAATGAAGGTTTTGAAATATATCATCAAATGACATTTAGGAGAAAAAAAAAAAAGAAAAAAAAATTTTAGTTTGATAATCATTGCAATAATTATGAATTTGATCCCCCATTCGTCCCCCCTATAACAACTGAACAGCCTTGAGCTGACCTTAGATTAATGTCATGTCATTACCGCCTGACCTCAAGGTTTTAATAGACCAAAAATAAAAAGTATTCGTCATGGCCACCAGAAGGCCCAACATGGCACTCCTCCTTTGTTCAAGAAACAGACTTTTAAGATTTAAGAACACTGAAGCCTAGCAATTAACAATCTCTGCTTCGAAGTAAGGGCAGACTTATTACAGGACAAGGAAACAGCATTTGTTTACATTTCTGCAATGTTGTGAAAGACATTGGTGGGCCTATCAACAGATATATATGTAGACCTATATCACTGATTTCTAGATAGCTACAGAAACAACTGTAAAGGTACATAATCATGTCATTCATCATATATCTATGTATATGTATGTTCTATACTGTTTTAAAACAGCAAACATTCCGTGCTGTGAAGGAGTGGATTAGTGAACTGCGGAAGAATGCCTCTTCAGATATAGTGCTAGCAATTGCTGGTAATAAATGTGACCTGGAAGATCTCAGGGAAGTGTCCTTTAAAGGTAAACATTTACTTCACACAAAGATCTATGGATTTTATTTCCACTGAAACAGGATTATTTCCCCCATTTTTTAAATAAAAAATATCATTATATATGCTTACTGTCATTATAAGCAGCCTCCACTAATCTGGCTGTCAAAATATCACTTACTTTCTTGTCTCTGTTGTCCAAACAACTCTGTCTGTTACTTATTGGTTTGTCTCTCTATCCACCTACCATGTTTCTGTTGTCCATTTGTCTGTCTATTACTTATCTGTTTTTCTCTCTATCACCTTATTTCTGTTGTCGGAATGTCTAGGTTTCAATCTATGTGACAGATTCTGCTTATGCATTGATACAAGCCTCCAATATTCTGTCAGTTATTCATTTGTTTCATAGTCTAGTTTATTTACTTTGAATGTGCAAGGTTGCATGAGGAGGCTGTATTGCTTGTCTAAGCACTTTGTTATATTCAATGAACCATTCCTAAGGAATAGTTGAATTGATGTAATACTATGGTATGTGATACAATTTTTTCAGATGTTGAAGAATATGCGAGACAGAGGAATGCAATATTTATAGAAACGAGTGCCTTGACTGCTGTGAATGTCCCAGAACTTTTTATCAAAATAGGTGAGAAAATTCTGTTCACTTAAATGTCCTAAATTTGTTGGATTCATCACTATCATTTTTTATTATAATGAAATTCTTAAAGAACTGGAAATTTAATTGAGGAATTGATCAAATCATGGATGCCATGTTATTCATCAAATGTACACATGCAATAATTTTACATTTGAACTATGTTGTATAGACTTCTGCAATATCAGGGATATAATAACATTGTGACTTCACAGTGGAAACTTAGAAAGCTTTACATGGAAAAAAAACAGATTTTCTCCAATATTTGTAAAAAAAAATGTAATCAAGAGGTAAAATTTATTTAAATTTTTGGTTTTAATTTAAGTGTGATGTATGAAACTTTTCACAAATTAAAAATTTTTTGGCCGCAAGAAGGCCAAAAAAATTATAATTCGTTGGCTTAATTCACCAATCTCATGTGAAATGGAATCTCAGTAAAGATTCTATACGTTATTCAATATCACACTGCAGTTTGTTGGGTTTTGTTTTCTAGCACGACAGCTGCCCCCAGAAGACATGACGCATTCTAGGATGAATAACAGTACTGTTAATTTGTATGAAAATTCTGATCAAAAAAGAAAATGTTGCGGAGGGTCAAGTAGAAATGAAATGGGAAGTCGGTCAAGTATCATGTGAATTTTCACTCTGAGACTTTAATCCAGACTGTATGAAGTCTTCTACATTCACATTCCATATTTATATGTACAATATTCAATGTCTGAGCTACTTAATTTTTCTAGTTATCCAAAATGCTCTGATTTAGCTTCACGGCAATATGACCTAGTTGCCAAAATGTTTGAAGTTACCACTCTTGTGGTACTGTGAGCTCCATTGTTATGAAAGTATGAAAGTTTGTAGTATGGAAGGTTGTTACTTAACGTGTGTGAAAAGACTACAATGAAGTAACTGTGCACACATTTGTGTCAATTAAGTTATGATATGATTTTATTTAAAGCAAACAAAAAAGAAAAAAAATTGAAACAGTTTGGCCGATATATTTCTTAAATTTTTTAATTGCTCAAAATATGAGAAAATAATAATGCTTATGACAATTATCAAAAAGCTAAATCAGGATGGAATCTTTTTGCTGGTTAAAGAAAAAAAATGAAAAAAAATATCCATTGATATGTACAAAAAAGTCTGATATACCTTAATGATATAAACAAAACTTATATTAAACAAATTTTACTGTAAAGGATAGAAATATTTTCCAGTATCAAGGAACCTGTGATACACAGAATTGATATGGTATCCTGGATTCCTTACTGCTCATTTTCTGGATTACCTTCCCTTGATATGATGCAATGATACATTTTCCTTTTCATCATTATTATTCCAACATTGAGCATCTTTTAAAGTTAAATGTACAATGTACTTTCTCCTAATTTAACATGCTTTGCGTTGTGGATTTAAAACAGTGGAGCCATCACCATTTCTATATTAAATACCTTCCTTACTCAAACATCTCTTCTTGTTGGGACATATTTCTTGGGCAGTATGTGGTACTAGTTGAAAACTGTTACTATTTCAATATTACCTTTATTAGCTGTTTTTTGAAAGATAAGTACATAAAAAGTGCTTATAATAATTGATACATAATGTCGGACTGAATCATTATAAATCCTTGGTAATGTAATTTGCGGTACATGGAAAAATATTTTAAGGACTGATACCATAATGATTGGGGTCTTTTGTAATGGTAGATGTGTTGTTATGATTTGAATGAAACCAAAAAGTTTAAATGTAAATGTTTCATAAAGTTATTGTTGTTGCAATCTGAAGTTGTCTTCCATTAGTAATATTGATTCACATGAGTATGTTGTATTTGAAAGGATATTTATATAAGGAAGGTAGATTCGTAAAGTTTTGAAGAGAAGAAATTTTATATATAGAGGATTTGTAACAAGATTTTGGAACAAGATTTTTAAGGTGGATTTGTAACAAGGTATTGTTATGAGAATTTGAAGGAAGGGCTAGTAGTTCATGGTATGACTAGTTTTTTTTTTATATAAGTGGAACCAAGAATTTTAATTTTCATGATGATTATATGTAACAAGACATTATTTGTAATGTTATAATGTGAAAATTAATTATGTACAAATCTACAAGTACATATATCATGTATTTACACTATGTGTCTCCTACTTATCCATGGAAAATAAGCCCCACTCACTTACTTTTAAAAAAACTTTTTTCACTGTAATTATCTAGTTATTCAGTGTTAATAAGCCCACCCATTTTATTAATGTTCACTAGAATAACCATCTGATGCTTTAACCTTGCCCACTAATAAGTTCATGCCTGGTAATAAGCCCACCCATTTAAAAGTCACCATTAGAATAATCAACAACTCTTATTACAACAATTTTCAGTTATAAGCCCATGTCTGGTAATAAGCCCATTTTTTTTATTGATGTTTGTGGTAGGATATCCAGCAAACTCTATTACACTGTCCTGCAATAATTCCACTCCTGACATTTATTCATAATCTTTCCCCCTGGTTTTATTAGAGGAAAAATACAATGATTAAAACACTGTGCAGACATTCAATACACAGCTGGAGACTCATGTATGGTGTTAGTATCCCTACCCATCATCTATAGAGCTATGTATTAACTGGATTATTCTATATATGTACCTGAAGCAGTTATTAATGCTTTCATACAAAATTAAAAGGAGAATATTTCTTTATTTCTTGACAAAGTAAATTTCAATACAGTTGTTAGTACGTATATATACTTATTTTTACTTCCTTCACAAACATTTTTATTCTGAAATTGATATCCTTTCAGGTCTGTTTTGCTATGAATGTGCTGTAAAATGAGATTTATGGATTTCAAGCACAAAATTACGAAGATATTTTGTATATAAACCTGTCAATCATTACAGAAAGTGTTATGAAGTACTGTCATAAGTTTACGATAAATTCTTGTCTTATTTGTTGGTAATTAAAGAAAATGTGTGTCTATACCTTAAGTGAGATAAGACCCTTGTGTCTGAAATGTTGTCGTTCTTTTTATGTGTTATAATGAAGTAACTAAATTCTTGAGACAAGCATTTTAATTGGCTGCATCTGTTTGATGTTATCAGTACATAATATGCTATAAGATGGTGTTTGTTACAGAACATTTGATTAGTTGTAGTGATGTTTTTCCACAGTAAAGAATCACTAAAGAAAATGAAAAAAAAACACCCTGAGAGTTTAAGAATAGATACAAGGATATACCTACCAGAGCACATAGATAAGAAATTAAGCTCTAAAATTGATACATTGCTTAGGACTTGACTGGTGATGAAATCACATGGCGGCATTGCATTTTTGTTGTTGTGCGTTTGTTTGTTAATTATGTAGCGGCATTCAAATGATGATAAACTTTATAAAAATATGTATCAGTTTGATTTAAACCTGTATGACTTGGCATAATAGAAGTATAACCAGTACAGTAAAAGAATTTATAAAACAGCGTTGTTAATGTACACATTTATATTAAACGTGTAAGTATATTTGTTAGTTCCGTTGTTTCTTTCCTTGTTTTCATTTGAGAATGTGACATTAGTTATTTGGTTGACCAGGATTTATATGATATATATAAGCAGAGGATGCTTACCCGCCTGGAACACCTGGTTATATTCTCATTGAACTTTTTCAGGAGTCTGTATGTAAATTTTTCTCTTTTTTTTTGCACTAGTTTTATTGAATTTGAGTTTGGAATATGATTCCATTGACATATTTTCTTTGTTGTTTTTGTGTACTCTATGTGTGACAAATGTTTGTTTTGTTTTCTTATCTTTCATCCAATTGTTATTTTGCACTTGCTTTACAAAAGTAGTATTAAAGGTTGAAAGCTTAATGACATGCTGATACAGTTTGTCTTTATTTGAGACATTACTAATAATTCTAGCTTGTTGTAAATTCAATTAAGATTCCAAAACATGTATTACACTGATGAAATTTCGGTAAATACGTCTTTGAATAAAACATTTTATCTGTGAACCTCATGATGTTATTGCAATTATATCATTTTATCGCACAGTTGCCGTGTTATTCCACGAATATACTTTTGTAATTGTTCTGGGTATTACACTGGTTTGTCATGTAATATGACCTGGTGTGATGTCAGAAGATAATGTGACGTCACTAACTTACAGATTATATTATGATGTCACAAATAAGACCAGCGATATGGAGTGAAGATGTCATGAAGAGTGACATGAGAAGCCATGCCTTCTGTGATATTTGTAATTTTACTGGTTCAGACAATAGATATGATCTTAAACTTGTTTCCGTTTCAATTTATGACCTTCGTCACATCTTGAGCATTTTTTGTTAAATCATGTATAAAATAGATTCAATATATCTTAAAATGTGTGAAGCTCATAATATTGTAACTGATTTGATTCATTATTCCAGCTGATAGTACAAACACGTTGAAATAATAAAACAAATGATGTAATATCAAACTACATGTACTATGAAATAAAGAAATGTATGTTACATTTAATCGTGATAGTTTAATGTTTGTTGTCTTTCATTGAGATTTTCGTGTGTGCATGTAAAATGATTACGATATTATAATTGCGAAACAAGTTTTCACCAAATCATATCCGTCACTCATGTTTGTGAAGCAGAAGACGCTTACCCTTTCGGAACACACTATTCTTATTGCACTTTTCATGAGCCTCCGTTTAATTTTTTTGTTCATATTTTGCGTTACCATATACATGTATTGATAAAATTTGAGTTTGAATTAAGATCCTGTAGATATGTTGGTAGTTACTATGGTATTCTAAAATTTGTACTTGGTAAAAACGAAAAAAAAACTCTTTCGCAGAAAAATGTAATAACTGGTATATTTTATTGGAATACTAGAAAAGTAAAGTTATTGTCAGAATGAAAAAGAAAACATGTGTGGTTGAAATAACATTTTTGTAGCCGAAAATACAAAATCTATGGAAACACAGTATCATCAGAAAATAAAAAGGAATACTATCTTGATCTACAGCTTTAAAGAAAAAAAATGACGACTGTACATGACCATTTCTCTAATGTCAAATTAAAGATGCTAGTTTGATAGACGACCTTGTCCTTGGTTTAACATACAATGTAAACTTTTAAGTTGATAGACGATGTTGTCCTTTTGTTTAACATACACCGTAAGCTTTTAAGTAAACAGACGATGTTGTCCTTGGTTTAACATACATTGTTAGCTTTTAAAGTTGATAGACGATGTTGTCCTTAGTTTAACATACACTGTAAGCTGTTTATATTGATAGACGACATTGTCCTTGGTTTAACATACATTGTTAGCTTTTTAAGTTGATAGACGATGTTGTCTTTGTTTTAACATACATTGTTAGCTTTTTAAGTTGATAGACGATGTTGTCCTTGGTTTAACATACACTTTTAGCTTTTAAAGTTGATAGACGATGTTGTCTTTGTTTTAACATACATTGTTAGCTTTTTAAGTTGATAGACGACCTTGTCCTTAGTTTAACATACACTGTAAGCTGTTTATATTGATAGACGACATTGTCCTTGGTTTAACATACACTGTTAGCTTTTTAAGTTGATAGACGATGTTGTCCATGGTTTAACATACACCGTAAGCTTTTAAGTAAATAGACGATGTTGTCCTTGGTTTAACATACATTGTATGCTTTAAAATATGATTATTTTGTAAATTTACACGTTATCTGTTTAATCGTTTAGTTTATGTTGTTGATTAGTTTTGCTTATGCCAGACTAATGTATTGATAATGAATATTTTTATAATCATCAAATGGTCTTTGCAAATTTTTGCTTCATGTATTAATGTAATAATTCCTTTTTTTGCACGGGCATTACTTATTATACTATATAAAAACAGGATCTACACTAGGTCATAATTTTCAAATTTCATTATCCCGAGTACACACTTATTCAAGTGTATGTTATATTGAAGTTCAGACTTTGCGTTTGGTTTAATTGTGTCCAACACGCCGACAATTTGATCAGTACTAAGTGAAAACAACGGATATGTTCCATGTATACTGTTTTACCTTCAGTCATGATTACACAGCAATATTGTGACGAGAGGCATAACTGGCGAATATCATGTGCTTAATTGCATGCAATACATTCCTTGTAGGATGAATGTCCTTACAGTGTTGTTGAAGAAAGTGTATGCGAAGCAAATTCAGAAACAGAGAAACAAGCGGATTCATTGGTGTTGGGATTTTGCAACAGCAAAAGTCAATCTGCCTGTCTGCTCTGTAAAGGGAAATGTGATAATAATTGAAATTCCAATGTTAAGCTTGCGATTGTTTACATTGTACCAGTAGCTCTATTTCAGACAATAAATCTGGCTATCGTTAATTTGTCGTTGTTTTGTCACGAATTCACTGTTGCCAACACCTATTATTTGATTCAAGGGTTAGTATCGGGTAAAATTTACAGATAAGTTATTTAAAACATAATCGTGGGGTTAAATACTAGTTTAGTGTTAGAAGGTACAATGTCGTGATTAGTTTAAATTCAAAATAAGATTTAAAAGGTACATGGTTATCGTTAGGACAAATACAAGGTTATACAAAAGATACACAATTGAATAGCACTTTAAATACGAATTCAGATTTACATAAAATATAGCAAAACCATGAATAAAGTTGCACCATGCAGCTGTTTCATACGTCTATGTACATAACCTTACTTCACACCAAGCTGAATGAATACATTCGTGAAACTTATTGTTGACACACTTTCATCGTGCATTTGTTCACCATTTACTTCGATTTTAAATTGCGACAAGTTCTTTGATATCTTAGTCAGGTCCTAACAAAACATTGTGTAACAAACTGATAATCAATCTACCTGAAATCCGTCATTTGTGTTAACTCAAATCGTAAAAATGTGTCATTAACAACAGAATTTATTTCAGATTACATATTTTTCATTACAATATCGCGTGTAGCAATGTTATGATAATGTGATGCAATTTACTATTATTACACAACTCAGTATGAGTCAAAGTAGATAAGTCTTCTTTTTTTCTTTTGTATTTTAAATGTTGACATTTCATATACACAGAAATTCCATCTGATTCCGGGAAATCTCGATACATTTTGTAGAACTTTGTCGAAACAAATCTTTAAATGACCACACCAGTGGATTGAAACACGGACATTCGTTTAGCTAACAATGTGAGTGTATGAAACCATTAATTGGTTGGCGTCATACCATTGAGGGCGCCACGTACTCATCCTCAACGGGGGGTACTGCCCTGGTCATGTCCATGTATGCTGGTTCTTCATTAGATTTAATAACATCACTGTTCGAATCTACCAGAACCTCAGATGAATGAGTCTTATTATGAAGCGAGTTCACAGCTGAAGGTTCCTGGCTGAAAATATTGAATGGGTCCATATTGTCAACGAATTTTGAGTTTGGCGTTGATGTGGTGATGGGGCTATTAACAGGGTCAATATTAGATAAATCAACTGAATCGAAATTGTCCGAACTGTTGACTTTTTTAATAGAGGCCATAATTTCATAGCATGTTGTGTCCAACGTTACGGGCGATAAAGTGGACTTGTTCTCCGAGGAATCAGACAAATCTTGATTGCTTTCAAAGTCTATCAAGGGGCGGTCATATTTTGTCATCTTTGGAAAAGGGTCCCATACAAAATTACCGTCAGGCTTTGCATGGAATACCAACTGATCTTCTGATGTTCCTTTTGCACTATCAATGACTATCTCGTGCGATTTGTTCTCTGGTAAATCGATGGCGACTAACATTTCCACAGTCGGAGGAAAGCAAGGAGTCTTTGGGGATATTGGTGACAAAATGTCTGAATCACTGTGGCCACTAGTTGTAACAACAGAATCGTCCAAAAGTTCTCCAGTTAGCAAGTCAAATGAGACTGTCTTCTTGGGTTCTTTTTGAACCTCATCATAGTCTGAACTACGCGCAACAGAGCGACGTTGAGAGGCACCAACAAGCACTGAATCTACCGAATGCCTTCGCGGGACAGTATCCTCTTTCATAGGGGAAACGGCCACATCAATCGCGTGATCGTTTTTAACACTTGTCTGCTCGTAAAGAGTGTTCTTCTGCATGTGTTTTAACATTTGGAATGTCGGAATTTTCGGGAGAGGAGAATCATCTTCACCATCAGACACAGATGACGATGACGATGTCGATGTTACGGATGCAGTTCGGCTGTGCGTACTATTTCTTTCCCTTAAAAATCGGGAAAATGTTACTTTTCTGCTGCTAGATTTAGACTTTTTGGTCTTTTTCTTGAACTCTTTCCGCCGAATCGGAAGCGATGTAGGTCTGTCTGGCAAAGACGGTGGTACGTCGCCGGGATTCACTCGAGGATCCATGCCGAGGTACTTATTCAGGTCTTTTCGGTATTTTTCAAGATCTTCGTATTGTGTCTCTGTTTCATCGTTAACATGACTGTCATGTTTAGGATGAGAATGTATGTCACTGTAGATCTCACCGTGGTCATCTGCAACTGCAGAATCGATGTTATCATACGTTTTGTTTCCAGTCGATAATTCAGTGACGATGAGCACGTCATTGACCGCGGCACTGATAGACTCAACGCAGGATGACGTAGATATAGCGCTGTCAAAGGAACTATTGTTCCTATGATTGGCTTTTAAACCAATGACTGTCTGTCGTACAGGTGAATCTGATGCATCGCACGGTACAAAACCGGAGTCATTAGATTTGACAGAACCAGACCGAAGATCTTGGTTATGATCCAAACGATTTGGGATATTTTTATTTTTCTCAGAGGTAGGGCTTAAATCTACATCATCATATCCAGAAACGGAGCGCACGATGTTGACTCTAGAATCCTGCGGTATCGGACACTGGACGTGACTGTAACCGTAACTGTCATGATTCACTTCTACAAACCGTTGGTTCTCCTTGTCGTGAATAACTTCCGTTGAGACAATTTGCGGCGATTCCTTCTTAACATCAACTTTTGGTGCTGAAGGAAGTGCAAGTTCGTCATAACAGCTTGTTAAATCGTTATCACCAGTAGGCTCCAGTTTAGGTAGCAAGCGCGGCGGTTTCGGCGGAGGAGAAGTTTCAAGTGAAACAGAATCCTGTAAACTCTCTTGGCTTTTCGTTCTCAACTTTGTACTATCGGAGGTCTCACTCAAGCTGTCAATGGAGTCAATGGATCCATTCAGATCTTCTCTGCTTCTCTCTAAAAGCATTTTATATCCCTTCTCACTATTAGAAGCCGAGGAAGTCCTCCCGCGCCCTTCTAAAGATCCTGCTGAAAATTTCCGTTGTCGCGCTTCCACAGCGCGTGCTATGTTCTTTCGGATACACTGGAATATATCCAGGACATTGCTGGACCTGAACATGAATTTGGCTTCACCAAAATCTGATTTCCTGCAAGAGAATAAACTGGGCATGAAATATTTGAAATCTTAATATTTTACCCTTTCACTCAAGCTTTTTGTTTGGTTCTGATTATATGCATTGTACGTCTGAAAGATTCAAGTTCATGGTATCAAATGTATTTAAATACTTTTCTGTAGAAAATATCAATTTTTAAGGGATTTTTGCTTTCATTACTTTCGAGGTACGTTCAAAATAAAATTCATAGATGAATCTCTTTTCTGTCTCTGCGGAAATGTATCCTCCTTTTTTGGCAATACCGCCATTGAAAAAGGAAATGAAAGGGGAATTCCGTTTGATGTTAATACACAAATGTGTAACCATATGCCTTAAAGTGTACTTACGCTCCTGATTCAATAATGAGTATTTTGGAATTTCTTTGATCAAGGTTGAATCGTTTTAAATTGCAGAGTTTCCATGACAGCATTTGAGCCTTGGACATAGCTTTAATTTTTAACTCCTGTGGAGAAAGAATCATCCAATATTCACCACTAAGGGAATACTTCCTGGAGTCTTCGTTCTCTTCAATTATGACTTGGAACAAATCTGCAATATACAAATTTAATTTTGGATGTTTCTTTCCTTCTTTCTTTCTTTCAAACGAACGAACGAAAAGGAAAGGGCGAGTACATCACAGAACTATGTTCGAAATTAATAATAGAAAACGTAGATAAACGGTTTTGGTAGGATGTTGACAACACAGTTTAATGTTTGGAATATATGAATGATAGATGACCCATATGGGCCTTATCAGTATGCACTTAAGGAACACTTTTCAGTCAAAGCTTCTTGACAAAGATATAATCGCAAAAACGAAAGCAATAGGGTTTTGTCGAAAATTGAACAATTCGTTTATGTCTGTTTTGCTTTTAATTACTTTGGCAACGCATGGTCCTTTCCCAACTTTGTTTTCAAGTGATTTGTTTTATAACAGGGCACATTTAAAGCCCGCAAAATGACTTAAGGCTTTGCCCTCCTTCCATCCCAAAAAGACACATTGAGGAAGTATGCAATTCCATAGCTAGTTGGCTGTTGATAAATTTACCTTTTCCATCCGGACCAGGAGGAGGCCAGAATATATATTGAAATGCTTTGGCCCATTCTACTGTCTCTGCGTCAACCAGGGATGCAAGGCATATTACTGGGTATGTTTCAACAATCTCAAACGCACATTTGTGGGTCTTCGAATTCGCAGATTGGATGCAGGAGACATTTTCAAATATGTATGTGAGTTTGTCCTGTGACGACTTGGCAGCAGAGCTCTCGTCGGGATAAAGGTCTAACTTGGCAGCAAACGTTCCTTCAGAGATGTTGCTCATTTTGTGTAAAATAGCCCATTTCATTCTCCATGTCTGAAGTTTAATTCACATAATACAAATTGTATTTTTCATTCAATTTTGTACAATATATACATATTCATGTTTAAGACCCTTGAAATGTTTGAATATCGGAATATAAACGCTTTGCGTAAATGAGAATGACAGTCAGATTTGAAATTAATAGACGTTTCTAGTCCCATGTATTTCCATTCTTATCAACATGTAACACCTTTTAATTTTTTGTCGAAAGCGCAGTAGATCGAATGGAATTTGAAACTGTTTTAAAAATTATTCTGGTAGAAATAATATTCTGTAGTGATAAAAATAGCTCATGAAAAACAATTGTTTGGAAATATAATTATCCAATAATAAATCATTTGAACAAAATATAATATTGTGTACTATGCTCTCCCTGTATAGCTATTCTCTGATGTTGTGTTATCGCATTATCTATAATTGTTTCAGACAGTACTTTACAGTCACCATCGCGTTATATGTGTACTTTTGACCCATATCACACAGGTTGCGTGATTTAATCATGATAAAATATCCCTGTATTCAGATACAAGTCTTTCAATGAATATTGCATGTCACTGTACTTCTCCTGAGATTTCGTAATCGTAAAATGTGATGAGGTGAAAAAATCCAGTACAATAACAGGAAAATGTCATCTCGAAACTCGGTTAGAAAGTCTACGTCATAATTATTGTATGGATAACCAACAATACAATCTGTTACTAACAAGCATATCGGGTAATACAAGCTATAAATGTTCAATGAATTAAGATAGTGTTGGAGTGTGACGCCAGAGACACATATAGCCTTGACCTCATCGTGGCCAGATGCATACAATTACATACCGCGAACGACTTGCGACAGTTATCAATTCCTAATACCCTAACGTGGATTCAAATTAGTATATCAGTGTTGCTTAATTGAAATCACATGCCCTATAAACAATTAGTTTTGTTTTTAATCATACATTGCTGGGCCATTGCTGTTATTGCGTCTGTCATTTTGAAACAAGGGGTGTTGTGTAATAATACTTTTTCACTAGATGTGATTTATTTCATTAGCTCCCTCTACCTCATATGCTCTTTTCGATATTCAAATATGTTTTAGAATTGAAATTTATGAACTCTACCATAAACCATCATTTTGTTATGTTTTTGAGTGTGAATGACGAGACGAATAAAAACGGTGTCACATTTATCACTGGAAACTTTCTTAAGTGAGTTTTTTCCTTTTATTCTCTATTTGAAGATATCAATTTAAAAAAAAAAAGAAAAAAAAAAAGGTTCTACTGCACAATTTGTAATTACCTGGATATCTCTTTGCCGTTCCTGCTCTTTTGATATTATTATTTGATACAAATAATGTATATCTATTAGGCATATTCTTATCTTTTGCCTATTTTATACCGTTTGACATTGTTTACGGTAACTCATTTTCTTTTGTAAATGCATAACAGGATTTGACATTTAATTACATTTCAGTACGTAAACAAGGTCATCTTTACTCGACCTGCCTGTATCCACAGCTGTTAATTCAAGTATGTGTTTCTATTCCGAACCACACCACAATTCGGATGAATTAAAACAGGCGGCAGTAATTTTCTTTTAGATCAACCAAACTATTACAACAATGAATCATACAGTGATCAAATCACATGATTGTCAGTATCTTGTGTAGTAAGGAAGTCAACAAGACCTTGTCTAGAAGCCATAAAAGTCAACATACAGATTTATTGACCTCGCTTTATCTTTCATCAAGTATAAACATCTTGAAGGCCGTGGACATCACCAGCATTCGTCTTAAATGATGCATTTTATTTATCATTTTTGTAGATATCATTGTATAAGATAATGCTAGGTAATGATTCATACCAATTGTGAGTACTACCGTTCAAATGTCAATTGTTGAACTGACCAGGTACACTGTAGTGTTTTGTCAGTGCCTATGTAAACGTACGTTATTTGTTGTTTACACACATTTATGTTAAGTTGTAAAATAATACTGATAAATAGTAAACAAAGTCATTGATGTAACAACAATTGAGGATAAAAAGATATGATTTGATTGTGACGTCAGTAAAGTTGTAACGTCAAAACTATAACGGTTATCAAAGATATCAATATACTATAACACGTTTTGGCTGAGTGTTAAGATTGGTTCTGCACGGTAACTGCTCTCTTGGTGGGCATGACGTCATTACGGTATGACGTCAAAATCATATCCGGTCAAAGCTGGTTTACTGGTTTATCGTTGATCGAAATGCTGTCTAAGCAAATGAAGACTTATGTCTAACAATTTTCGAAATAAATGAAAATTGTAACATCTACATATTTTTCAAAGAAAGTCCAAATACTTGGTAAGAGAAAAATGCCATATTTGTATAAACGATCAGTTAAACTTACGCTCGTTTCTTGTTTTTGCGAAATATATTTATTGTTTCGAGGGAATGAAACTTTAGGCGAAATAAGGCAAATACAAGCTTCCTAAGGGGGGAGTGCAAAAGTCATCGGCAAATGTGTACAGTATACCGCATGTGTAATATAAGGTCGTCACAATCCTGTTCGGAAGAAGAATGTTGGTGTACACTTTAACCAGAGTACATTTGTATACACCTCAAATGAAATGTTGTATTTGTATCGAAATTAGGAATTTTACTTTGTATACTAACATATCGATCGACCTGTTTGTATTCATGTTGTATTCAATGCATTGATGCGATTGCTGTTTATATCTTTTTGTTCTATGTCAAGAAGATTGCATTATTTCAGTGACGCACGACATTCGAAATGAAAAACTGGTTTTTACTACAAAAACGAGAGATTATGTCACTTAAGATGCAAACTTTCGAACAGGATTTAAGCTTTTCAATAAATACAAATTAAACCTTAACTATTTGTTGGTGTTTTCATAATGATGACGTTGATAGATATGTAAAACATGATCTCAAAATTATATTAGTATTGATGCACAAGTTGAAAAATCCATGCAAAGCATTTAAAGACAATAGAAACAGAAAATAACCACATTACTTTTTAATTACGGGTGAAAAATCCTGTCCACTTACCTTTAACTTCCGTCCCTTTATATTTGAAGGTTGTTTGACTTGAAGATAACCTGACTTTTGAAGGCCGGACATTTTACATAAAAAGTTTCTGGTCTTCTGTGTGTATCAAACCATGCGACAACAGAGCGTAGTTCCAAATGGTCTTTGAAACAAACTTTGCAAAATGACGATTGTTATTGCAATACGAATGTTATTGATATAATATTAAGTTAATATAACCAAAACTGACTAAATCATGACTGTGCTTGGATCAGTGTCCCTGTACAATCCGTAGTGTCCGGGTGGCTTCAGAGCAAATGAATGAGGCGATTGCTACAGTTTAACTATATCACCGAGCGGTCAAAATCTGCCCGGTGTTTGGTACTAATGTAGTCCTGAGTGATAACGGTGACAGCACAGCCTAGAACGGGAACAAAGTGTCAATATGTAGGTGACCCACTACCTTGTTAGTATTGATGCATAGTAGTATTAAGTGTAAGGATATTGTTATCAAAGAAGGAGCGTTAGTGCGATTTTCATATCAAATAAGACAATTTATCTATTGAAATATGTATAGAATTTAATTGTTATGAAAATAATGCAGATACTTTGAATTCTTGAATTTTGAATTGAAGTATTGTGAAATATCAAAACATGATTTGCATGAGTGTGTTGACGTCTCATAAATATTGTGTTTACTGGTAGTTGTCACATGGTTATATGGAAGTGTATTCATTACTTCAAAAAACGAGTTTGCGTCATACATCAGCGTGCAATGATGCTGTTCATCTGTCAAATTAGGTACATTAATAATGGACTATTTCGGTAGATGTATTGAATTATTGATCAGCACGATTTTCGATTAATTTCATGTCTTTGATGTTTGACGTATAGTTTTTATTGATACTTCAGAATAGTAAGTTTATTTGATGCGATTTCAAGTTCACGAATCGTTTTGGTGTTAATGTGTCGCTGTTGAGCTGATATTCAAGTTCGTGGTCACGATATTATGTTTTATGTTTAGTGCAAGTGTAACACACAACATAAGCTTCGAGAGGCGTAGGTTGACCAAGATATGGTCGTCTTAATAATAATTTCATCTGGAACTCATATTTCCTTGTGTGGTATGAGGCTGAATGTGACCAAAATTTACACACCGAGCGTCATCGATGAAGCATAGGACTCTCACCATTTTGGAACATATGGTCTTATTTTTCATCTACTTATCATAGCGTGAATATTTGTTTATATTTTGCCAAAGATTCGTCGATTGTAATTTGAATTGAGATTACGTTGACATGCCAGCTCTTTCTTGTTTTGACTGTTGTGCATGTTTTTAAGAATGGTATATATCAAATTACATTTTCGTTCATGTATATAAACATCCTAACTAAATAATTGTGATAAATTAAATCATGTGATTTCGATATTTCATTAGAATGGGATCCAAAAAGTGAACTGTCACATTTACCTTAGACTTTAAAACCAAGAATTCATCAAATATTGGTACTCTTAGCAAATATTATTATACATTGACCGTTTTCAACTGAGGAGAAATATCTGTAGACATGACCCACGCATGAGTGTAACAACGTTGAGCTGCATATAAGTTTTAGTTGCAGCGTTAAGATTTTTTACATGGTCTTAAATATTTGAATGTTTAAGACTACTGCAGATAAAAATATATCATGTCAATATACATTAATATGTTCAACACAGACAATCATGGAACAAAAACATTGATACTTGCTTAACTTCCTACAGACAGCATTGTATTTTTGAAGGGAGCGATTGTCAGAATCAAACTGTTGGTGGACTATTAGTCCCCAAGGTTTACTCTAACCTGTGTGCCACGTTTTCATTCATTGGAATTGTGGCACAAATCAGATTATATACATATACTTGACGTTCTTCTGAACTGATCAGATACATGAACGTTACGAAAGTAATTGATTCGCCCCAGCTGATTCCTAAGTTGCCTTCTAGATTTAAAATTTAGGCCCTTATGGTCACTGACGAGCCTAGAAGGACGAAATAGCTGTATGATGCAGCATCACTGACGAGTCCTAGAAGGACGAAATAGCTGTATGATGCAGCATCACTGACGAGTCCTAGAAGGACGAAATAGCTGTATGATGCAGTTTAAGTAATTGTTTAGGTCTACTGTATCTTATCCTAATTTTTATTAAAAGGTGCTATTCACTTTTATATGTCTTCCGTACAATATTTCAGGCAATAATTATAATGTATAAAACTCCACTCTGTGTACATTTTAGGACAGCAGACATGTTGATAATGAACTTCAGGTTGATAAGTGTATATATTTAATGTCATTTTGATAAATCCAGTTTATGTCTATTTTTAGAAAATGTAGGTTATGATTATAAAACAATGTGCTTTAACAAGGACAGTTAATGCAAAGGTTGTAGCTCTTTCAAGTTTCATATATCGCTATTTGTAAGATGAAATGAAACTGCGAAAAATTATGTGAAGACGAACAAGTGAATAGCACTTTTTAATAGGAATTTAGATGCAGTAGAACCAAACGATGTATTAAACTACATTATACAGTTGTTTCGTCCTTCTAGGATTTATCAGTGATGCTTCTTAAATCTTGATACTTTGGCATCGACTGAGGAGAATCAAAACTGCCCGAAGATAATATCACAATTCTAATGGTGAGGTTCATTAGCCCTATGATTAAATACATTCCGTATTTGTTATATCATCTAATAATTTCGTAATAACGTCAAGCATTTGTGTCTATTTTGAAGTGAGTCACAATTCAAGTGAATAAGATTAATAGTCCACCAGCAGTGTCAGATCACCTGCAATATTAAAGAATGTACAAAGTGAATCGCACCGTGTTATAGAGAAACATAATGCTGTCTATTAAAACTGCTCCTTATATCCTTTGTGCTACAGGCTTTTGGTTGATTGGGTCCCGAACAAAACAACCTAACGGTAAACCATTTGGTGCTTTTAAAATGTTTTCATGATAAATCTTATCCATAACAAATATGATGTTACCATAAAAATTATGACAAATCTGACCCCTCACTAAAGATAAAAATTAGCCCAACACATATCTATATTGTATAAGTCTGGTTACTAGGTCACGACACCCAATTAGTCAAACAGTTTGTTGTTAAAGATAGTATAAACAGGTCGCCACAGGTAAAGTACAGACTAGTTGTATTAAATAGTTGATAGTTAACTGTTTATGGGTCATTTAAAAAAAAAAAAAAAAATTTTGAATGATTATTTCAACCTTGTTTTGTATTCTACATTCATTTGTTTTACATGTCTTAACTATTAGACAAATACATCCTCTTTTTTCTGCACTTCCCTAATTTTGATTTAGGATTTCTATACGTTTGCTTTCCAACATCTATTGAAAGTCGGAAAAGGAACAAGTTTATAGTGCATTTTATTATTATCTTTAAATTATTTTAAATACAAAAACTATTATTTGATTTATGACTTAATGTGTTTTACTCTTGTCTTCAAACAAGTCATGACTGTTTTCAAACTCGGCTAACTTGATCAGAAGCGGTTCGTTATATAGGAGGTGTACTTTTTTGTCAAACTCGGATAACTTGATCAGAAGCGGTTCGTTATATAGGAGGTGTACTTTTTTGTCAAACTCGTCTAACTAGATCAGAAACGGTTCGTTATATAAGAGATGTACTTTTTTGTCAAACTCGGATAACTTGATCAGAAGCGGTTCGTTATATAAGAGGTGTACTTTTTTGTCAAACTCGGCTAACTTGATCAGAGGCGGTTCGTTATATAAGAGGTGTACTTTTTTGTCAAACTCGGCTAACTAGATCAGAAACGGTTCGTTATATAAGAGGTGTACTTTTTGTTAAACTCGGCTAACTTGATCAGAAACGGTTCGCTATATACAAGCCATACTTTGTTGGCAACATTGAAATGTTGATTGAAATCAATTATTTTTGAGCAGTTCCAATTTCATTGTTTTTTTTAAATTATCTTATATAGGCATTTAATTATCTTGGAAAAGGGACACGAAAACGAAATTCAGCACTAATATTAAGAATCTTGTATTTAAAAGAAATGTTTTTTTTATTTATGTTTTTTCATTCATTGGTTCATAATTTCATAAATTTAAAGATCAACACGAAAACAATGTAAATAAAACTTCGATGACAATATATGATTTTACATCATACTATTTTTACCGATTACAGTCGATATTGTTTGTTTTATCTGGTGTGTAATGTATACTGTTCATATTCAGCTTACTACAATGGGTGAATCAGAACTATTTTATCTTATTTGGAAAACGTTATCAACAGTGTTATCTCCGGACACTACCGTAGATTAAACTATACTTTACAGTGACTAAACCGGGGCATGTTATTAAAGAAAACACAGACGTCTGAACGGTAAGTCATATTACAAATAGAGATATATTTTATTGTGTTCTTGTAAATTTCAATATTTATTTCTTATTTACATATATATGGTCTGTAAACCAACTATAAGTGGTAGTTTTATTCCTAACTTTTATCATTAGGAGTAAACAACCGTGTTGTAAAGCTCCTTACACTTTCTGCAATATATCAAGCAATACTATACTTTGTGAAAAATGTATGTTATTCATATATTTCTTAACATGAAACAAGTCTAAAAGAGTGTAAATGCCAAAACGTGTTTAGAAATTAAAGACAATGGGGGCGGGTATGTCTCTATAGTCTACAAGAGTTATCTTTCTTGATACGTAAAAGCGTCAATCACCATGTTGATCATCTCGAAACGTTTTTCGTACTATCATAAAGTCAAAATCATTCGTTTTAGGATTTTGAAATAAACAAGTGTCTGACTTAAAACCTTGTTTTATAGACAGGATAAGTGTCTTTAATTTTATCAGCCACAAATTGTGAATTTGAAGCTAGTTTTACATTCATTTCATCGCATGATTGATTATTTTGTGAATAAGATGAAAAAAGTTGCAATCTGAATCATATCAGAAATATTAAATTCTTTCTGTAATTAAATGTTTCTATTGTGACGTCATAACAGAGTCACGGGTGAGTGATGTAATTTCAGTATCAAATGATAACGTCAAAATAAGGACCATACAGTCCATATACCAAAACACTACATTGGTGTATTGATAGAATGACAATGAAGCCAAAGAGCTGTAGCAGACAATGGCATTGTACCAGAAGATGATGATGATAATAATGATGATGATGATGATGATGATGATGATGATGATGATGATGATGATGATGATGATGATTTAATTGGTAATATATTTCTGTACTTATCCAGTACCAATTAAGTATATTTTACAGAGATAACATAGGATTAAGAATCATGCAAGATTTTCAATTTTTCTTTTAATCCAGAATTTCCATCGCTTAACATAATGATGAATGAAGAAAACGTACCCAGAGACCAACCGTCCACCACAGAACCTGAAGATGTTGATATAAAGAATGTCAAAGTGGGCGCTATCACGATTCCACTGAATCTAAGCTATGTCAAGAGTCCTTTAGGAATTGTAACAGCCGTATCAGGTGTAAGTGTCTCGTATATGGTACAGTATGGTCATTTCTTTGAAAAGTTTATTTTGTATAAATTATATATTAATTAATAGTACATTAATTGTATAACCACTGAACAGGAACGGCGTCATTGTGTGTGTTGGGGAGTGATGGGTGGGGTGGGGAACCGTGCAATTCGAACAGGGAACACTGGGTAATACAGCATGGAACTTAAAATTATACCATGCACTGCGCTTCCGTTACCATCACCTTCCTTGACGATGCATTAACTAACCTTCAAGAATCGGTATAGATTTCTTCTAGAAGGATAGAAAATCGCTATCTGTATTTTCTACTACCTTCAGATCTACAATACGTTTTCTCATCCCTTTTTAGAAAACAAATACATACATAAACAACGAATGGAATCAAGAAATAGATAATTGCGAGAGAGGATACCATCAAGTAACCTTTATATCTGAGAGCATCAGCCAAATTTACCACTGTGCTACGATAACGTTGTTTGGTTAAAGACAATATATACTGATGGTAAAGAATTGTTAAGGTTTTTTAAAACAAAAAAATAAACAAAATGCTAAAAAAAAAAAAAAAAACAAAACACAAAAACAAAAGCAAACAAACAAGTCAAAACATTACTCCTGCAGTTTTTCATTGCTGTCGAATGATATCAATTATTTGAAAGAGGCTCATATATGACTTAACTGTGACATTGGAATGAAAATAGTTTATATAAAGAAAATATGCACCAGATTTAGGCAACCGTTACTAACTTGTTTCAAACCATTTAATGACAAACAAACAAATAGGTTTATATGTAAAACCATACACGACACTGTAATAGGTATACACAGTTGCTATATCAGCATTTCTCGATGTTCCAATTACCAAAATAGCGACACTTTTTTTTATCCTTTTGGACAGCTGTTCTTACAGCTTAAATGATGACAGGAAGACCGGATTTTTCCGGTAAATCTAATTACTCATTTAGATATATTGTTCACTGTAGACACCGTAGGGTTTCTTTAAATCGTCCTTCTGAGGGAATTAAACGTCCATCTTCAATCTCTTTTCATGAATCTTTCATATGAATTTCTGACGTGTTACTCTGTATCACTTCAAAATCAATTGATAAAGCGAACATATCAAGACGTACCTTAGATATGTTAATATTTTTTACAAAATGTATGTTTAAGGTAGGTCTTCAAACAGAACAAAATGTGGTTTTCGTTTCTGATACGATAACTTAATTCAACGCTTAAAAAACTATTTTTCCGTATAAGCTGGGAAGATTTTTCGAAGGTAGAGATGGTCCCCTGATGAAGACTGAACACATCAATGAAACTAGAGTTTTTTCAAACAGGAGCGGTATTGTAGATATTCTAAGGAAATGGTATCAATGCAATCATTACCTACCGGAAGTTCGGAGAGACTTTTGGAAAAGGTATGTCCATTTTCTTGTAAATGTACACAACCTGGATCGCGACACTGTAAACGGGAAAGTAATAGATACAGATATACGATTGACTTCTTCACAAGATATGAACACGGATGAAGCACTGAAACAAGCTGTGAAGCTTCTTAAGCATTTAGTGGACGATACAGTTTTCCCCGAGAAATGTTGGAACCTTATAGAATGACAATATTCAAGGAATTCAAGTGCCTATGCCAGATACGGAAGCTAATGTATTTCAACACGCTGACGATATAGCATTATATAAATAAATAAATAAATCAGGATCCAAAGTTGATATCGAGAATTCTTAGATAAAGAGTATTTGGTATAGGCAAAGGCATTGGCACGAGTCCCCAAACCCACAGTCCATATATATTTATTATGTCATCATAACACATAGCACTTATAACATATAGTAGGCCGGGCCAAATCTCCGTCGATATACTTGCACTCGTAGAAAGAGACGCTCGTGAATTTTAAGTAAATATTTGTAGCTGATGTATATTCAAAATCGAATGTCAGAAAATGTAAGTCTCTATATGGTAATCCTATTCAACATATTTCGACAATGTGGTTTCGGATGGTATTTGACAACCCAATGACTTGCCACAGTTATATCATCGCTGTTATTTTTAGCCAATGCCGACTGTGTTAACTGTTCTTTCAATGGAACCGATTCTTGAGACTAGAATTGACAAACTCACAGTATTGAATAACGAATGGCGCCAGTGTTACTACTAAAATCAGTTGGATAAATGCCCGGTAGTTGCGACGTATTACTTATTAATCGCATCCGATGATACCACGTATTCCAGTGTTTGATTACCTTACGGTAAGTGATAGTATACGTGTTACTTTATTCTGTAATATTAATGATCTTAGTAGGCGATATAAGAAGTTTAAACGAAGGGATATAGATTATTCAAAGGGGCAATTTCACTAATTTGAATCGACAATACCATCCATCAATTCGTAGTTGGTCGCCCATTCCTGATGTTCAAGAAACAAATATTTTATGAAATTGAGTCCCGACAGTTTTTTTTAATTTGAAGTAGACTTACGTTAAAAATATTGGCCAACTCGTAGTACATAAAATACCACCAAACCTAGGTCAACACATCTGTTGACATGAAATATAAGAAACAAAATTCTCTTTATTGATATACATTACTAATAATATTACATTTGTTAACATAGAAAACATATAATAATATTACATTTCTTCACAAGGAAAACATAATAATATTACATTTGTTGACAAGGAAAACATATAATAATATTATAAATGTTGTCACGGAAAACATATAATAATATTACATTTGTTGACAAGGAAAACCTAGAATAATAATACATCACAAAAATACATGATAAACATATGTATTTTAATAGCCCAACATGTTACAAATTATAGCAGACACTTTTTGGGGGACTTCATTGTGAGTAAAGAAAATGTGATGTTTTATTTGGGTACTCCATGATGTCGATCCCTTGAGTCTAAAGTCGCTCCTGTTGCGGTTTTATTCATCAAGTGGTCTTGATGCTCCTCCAGCTTCGTGCTGTATCCTGCTGATTGTCAGAACCACTTGGAACACTCTGGTGATATCATATATTTTTGGGTGTGCGTGACGTATCTCCTTCAGCTTCCTATGACATGATTCCAAACATTAGTGGCACTGTGAATCACCCAACATCTTCTCCCTCCAAGAGTAGCACGGTAGCTAATGCGAAAAAGTCACTTGATGTCATCGTTCTCTCTGCAAAGTTGTTGATGTCCAGTTTGCTGGGCTTTACCACAGAAGCACTGAATAAAGTGAAAAAGGCATCCCCTGATGGTCACCCCGGAAACACTTGATGTAGGGCGACGTTGACTGCTGTCACGAAGTCAACAAAGACTGTCTTTAGGGATGTTAAAGTCAGCCGTGATCATCTAAAATAAAGTCAAGAAACAGTTATATAGTTGCTTAGTCTTGTAGGAAAGTAGCATGTAAACAAGCGGGGTAATCACTTCTAATTAAATGTGGTGGGGTATTTTCATGAGGTCGATGACTTAGGTAATTAAACAATAGCATTAACCTTAATTAAACATAGACATCTGAGCATTAACTAATGATGAAAATACTTTTAAATTCTAACTTGAGTAATTTAGGAACATTAAATAAAAATTGATACAAGTGAAGACTGCTGTTATATAAAAATTTGCATATACGTTTATATCATTTCAGCATCATAATTTAGACATGTCATGTATAAAAGAATATATAAAATTTCAATTAGATTTAACCCCCAACAGATTAAATAGCAATCATTTTTTAAATCTTTTTAATTTGTCGTATTTTTCTATGTTATATTAACATTAAGTAAGATTATGTAAAACCTTTATTATTTTCTCAACTCAAAATGACATCAAAATTGACACCAGCTTCCAATACAAGCTAGGTGGCACAAACGCAGGTAAAACACCAGTACAACAGAGGTAATACGTGAGACTTCATATGAAATAGACTATAATGCTTCTAACAACAATCCTCTGTCTATTCTGTTTCAAAAAGTGGGTAAATCGGGAAAGTCCGAACTCATGACCCAACAAGGAAGTTCGAGTGACAAGATGCAGCCTAAACAGCATGTTCGTTGATGAAAGTCAAAGGTCTAAATATAGATCAAATGTCCTACCTTTTGGTACACGATTCACCTCCCCGCGTTTGTGAATCTATGATATTCCTGTTCAGATTGATGAGAAATTAAAAGATATTATGACACTAAGATTTTTTTTCTAATTGAGAATATGAAGCTTACGTTGGTTATATCGTCTACAGTAGTTATGTGAATACTAGGTGATGTGTTGTCTCATTATTGTTGTTGTACGAATATTAACCACACTGTCTGATTTGGTGGCAATCGCTTTCAGAATGGTTACATTACGCAGATGGGAGGGGCGGTGTGAGACAGGGGAAATGGAACATTGATCTATCTACTTATTATGTACGACTGTCTGAATTATGTCGGTTTGTTCTAAAACATGTTTAGATAATGGGGGTCAGTTTTGTATAAATGGCGGGTTTCGGTAAAAGAAAACAAAAATTTTGTAAATTCAATTTCAGTTGCTTAATTTCAAATTTCAGATGAGCCATAATCATTATATCCCCCTACCTTTTTTCTTTTGTTGTTTTATTTTCAGCTTTACAAATACCAGTATAACATGAGGTACTTTACGTTTTACGCAGATTCTATCCCTGCTTTGCGCTATCCTTGTGTCCGCCAGTTACAACATCAACTGTTATGCCGGTTACGGATCTACCTACGACTTCTTTGAGTTCGTTTCTACGTCCTGGTTCATTCTCACCTTCTTCCGTTACATTATATTCCTTCTCACAAACAAGAATGGTGTTCTCTGTGGGTCATTCGTGCCATGGACTCTATTGGTGAGTGTCCATGTAAAAATTGTAAATCCTGAAGTCATGGGAAAATGTATGATAATGCTTATATAAAATATTCCAAAGTTACATATTTCTATACGAGAAATCGGTCATTTCTACTAAATCGTCAACCACAATTCCGTTTAAAAGTTATTATTAGCCTAAAAGAACTTGACATCATAATACACTGGCTAATATACTGTAAACATATTTATTGTAGCGAATGTATTATTCTAGCACCTTTTTGCGGTGGAAATAGTGTGCTACAATATATTTGCGCTAATTGTTTGTCTTTCTTAAAGAAATTATTGTGCGTGTGCTAAAACCTCGTTCAAAATTTTTAAAGCACTAAATTTCAGCGACTGCCGTATGATGAGCAAGTGATGGTATGTAATAATGATTATTGTTTTTCTTGTTGCAGATGATGGCCAACACCGCTATTTATATCATAATGTTCTTTTTCGGATCCATCGCGATGGCTGTCAGCTCCTGTTGGAGAGGGGGCTACAAAGCTTCAGCGGTAAACTATTATATAAAACAACAATTACAATCAAAATACCAAACAATGTATGAAGTTTTACCTATGGAAACCCTTAAATAGATATTATTGTGACACAACCAGTGGACGATTCGAGCGTGACGTTTCGATAACTAACACAGTCACCTTCATCAGACAAATGACCAGTGTGGAGCGTACGAGCACTGACGTACGTAGTGTACAAAATGGTACGGAATCGACCGACTTTTTCGGCTGTACCATAACCAAATGGAAACTAAGATTGAAAATAGTTTGACGAGCAAGTATTTAGATTATAGACCAAAACATGCACAAGATGGTAATGATGTACTGTATTTATTTAGTTACGCTTTGTTTAACACTTGGTCATAGATGTGCGAGATTCTGTGGCCCCCTGGTTCCTATGAAGTATCGGCCCGTTGCTGCGTACCCAGATACCTTCCTTAACCAACCGCCTGAAAAAGTTGTTTTTCCTGTCGACTTTTTAAAAAAACATTCAGATTGTTTTTCTTGTCAAATTTTTACCGACAATGGTATAATCCATTGCATGATTTCTGACAAGCCATCGATGTCAGGGATAACAACTTGTCTTTATGTATTGTTCTTTTCCTTGTTGTTTCGTCTTTTTGCTTTTATAAAATTCGTTGTTAACTTTTTGGATTATGCTTTGAATGTGATTTTGTTCTTGCTTCTTGCCTTGTTCTTCCGTAAAACGAAAGGTCCACGTTTGTTGAGCAAGGTTCGCACAAAGCCTAATTTCTGGTGTAAGGGGTGATGCGATCGGAAGTTGAGGTATTGGTCCATGTGTGTCTTTTCCCTACAAACCAATACTTTGATAGAACCGGCATTTTTTAAAACTATGATAGTGTTAAAAAATGACATCGTTCCATTGCTTCGTTGCCCACGGGTGAATTTGTTTGTAATATCTATCGATATACTCGGTCAAATTTATGTGACCCTTGTTTACTACTTCTAATATGTCATCAACGCTTCTCCGTGTGCTACATGAATAAGTTGGCCACAATCGGAGACACGGTACTGTCATATCTGTGACAAACCGTTGTTAATAGATGGTATATCGGAAGGCAAAGTATGTTGTTGTAAGCACAAATTCTAGTTAATCCATGATGTCTTGGATAGGTGGATTTACGTTCTTTCGCCATGACCGGTCTTGCTCTCGGCGACTTCGAATAACAAGGGCTTTTCTAGTGGGTGTGTTTGTGACAAGAGACACTACATCATGTGAAATGAATTCCTGGTTGTTTGTGATAAGTTTACTCTCCAACCTCTATGACAGAATGTTAAACAAAACATAGACGAATTGACTACAATACATTGCTACTGACTTGCGTTTTTTGGTCTATTATCTGTTTACCATCTCCTCACAATATTTTCGACCTTACTGTACAAAGGATTATAGTGTGGCCGAAAAATGAATTCGATTCCGTACCATCAGGTACACAACGTACGCCAGTGTAAGTATGCTCCACACTGGTCATTTGTCTGATGAAGGTTATAGTGTAGTCATCGAAACGTCACACTCAAATCTTCTACTGGTTGTGTTCTACTGACATTACCTACCCGTACACAATGTTCCGAAAAAAAGGGGTTGGAAAACCCTTTTCATTCATAAGACTTGATGATTCAGAATAATGAAAAAGTTAGATTAATGATTTTTTTCTTTTGTGTGTTAGTAATAATTAATATTTTTTAATGTTCTTTAAATGATATTTGGCCAACATACCAGGCCACACTACGGAGGCACAGAGGGGGCATCCGGGTAAACATTTTTGCTATGACATGAGCGCCTAGTAGAAATTTTGGACAGAAAAAAGACAAAAAGAAAACACCAAACAAGCCATTTCACTGATTTTATTACGTGTGTACGTATTAGAATATATATATATATATAACTGAATGCCCTCACTGTAATTTTGGTAACAAACAACCTATATAATGGATTTTGGTTTCAAAGTCACAGAGTTCAAACTCATGACAGGAATATCTATAGTACCATATAACATGCTGGACACTCTACTTTGTGGATATTAAGGAAGTAATATTAAAAATATTAAGAGATAAGCAAGTTGGATCACACATAGTGCCTGTAGATAAAATGCATGCTTTTCTTCACGCAGGCGTTCGGATTTTTCACCACATTCACTTGCATTGCCGAATTGGTTCTACTTCTGTTCAGACTGCGAAAAGAGCATGAGCCAACTCAGAACCGAATCCTCATTTTAATGGGCGTCCCAGAATTAAATCAGCGAGGTGCTCCACCACCCTACGACCCCGAGAGTAATATGGCTGCAGACCCACCAAAGTACTGAACTTTCATAATTATCCATAATTAACTTTTATATGTACGATTGTTTACGGTTATTTGAAGTAAATACTTATTGGATAATATCGTTTTTATTTTCTTCTTCTTTTTTAAATACGTTTTTTAATTCATTCAGAGCAATTTATTCCATAATTAGAATAGATTTTCTAATTTTCACACAAAACACCAAATGAACAGTATTTAAGAATACTGCATGTGTACGCAGCAAATTGTTTCGTGTCTTTTTATAATCAATTTAAGCAGATGTTTTCACTTCTTACTTTGATAGATCAGATTATTTGTTTTAAGTGAATTGCATGTTGACAAACATACAGACGTCTTGTGTGTTACAAGCTACCAAGCTTGTTCAAATGAATCACCTTGACTCACCTTCAAGGTCTCGAGGGTCAAAAGTATTAAAAACACTTCGTGGACTTCTCAATAACCATATGGGGCACTGACATTGGGTATGCACAATGATTGGGCCACTTTCAGGGTCAGAGAGTGCCATTTTTATTTAAACTTCTTTTCAATCATTAAAATGTTGCAAGGTCATAAAATTGGAGGATAATGGTCTTAATATCTAAGCTACATCCCAATAACAGAGACCTGAGATACCGATGTTGTGTCAGTAACTGGCTGTCATGAAGGGTATCAAGTCCTAAAGCAAAATATCAAAATGTTAGGCCTTTCGATTTAACAATAATCGTTGGAATGTTTGAGCAAATTTCGACTTCTGTCACTTTGAAAATGCGTCTAGGTCATTTATTTTAGAAAACTGCGGGGTTTCATCCTAGGAACATACTATTTCATTTCGTTACCTTTTGGTTAATCAGAAGTCATTTGAATGTTGTAACAAATGATTTCCATGACATTAGATATGGCGCAAAGTCATTTATCATGCTTCATCCCGGCCGAACATCGTTATTTTATGTCTTTTGGTTACTCTTAGTAATGAATGCAGGTCGTCTTTTTCCAGTTATGCCGGGGTACATATAAGAAATCCTTCCGACAAATATCACGATTCTAGGCCTTTCAGCTCATCGTTGATATAATTCAGCAACTTTTATCTTGAAAAGGATCAAGGTTATTTAATTTTCCAGGCTTTGTTAAGTATTATCTAAGGAAACATCCAAGCAAGCATCACGATTCTATGAATTTCCGTCAACCTGGATAGGTCCTTTTAAGGTTTTTACAATGTTATTCCGAATAAAAAAATCTTTGAATATGAGAAAAGGTAATTTTGCTCATGCAAACTACGTCTGGCTTCATCCCAGGTACCAACCAGCCAAATAATTTAGTGCAAGCCTTTTGGTTAATTAAAAAAAAAGTTTTTCTTCTTAACCTGACGTCACGGTAATTTCTTTTTCAAGCTTTGTCGGGTACCATCCAATGAAACTACCATCTGATTATCATGATTCGAAGCCATTCACATAATCAGACCGAGTCGTTTTGAGCATTTCAACGAAATTGGAATCTATGACCTTGAATACGAACCGATGTCATTTCTATTTATAAACGTCATCAAGGTTCATCTTAGAAACATTCCAGCTAAATGATTTACTGACATTTCGATTCATCATCAGTAATTGTTTGAAGGTTTTACCAATTTAAACTGTGACCTTGAATATAGGTCATGGTAATTTCTCTGCAAAATTGTCCCACCGCGTCACAGCATTGCCAATAAGCAGGTGAATGAAAGTTGTGAAAGACTTAGGCCCATATTCCATGGTGATACCGTATTTGCGATTACTGTATTTTCTATATTTTTCCGCCTTGCGAGTCTCGACTTATAATTTTGTTGCAGAATCAAACTTATAACAATTTGGTCTAACACTTATTTTCTTTTTCTTTCAGAATTCCTTGACTGCATCTATTTTCAATGCGTGTTGTGATGACATTGACTGTCATTCTTTTGCTTTTAGAGGTTTAATTTTCCCAGAGTATTGGATGAATGCGAGACTTGATATAGAACAATATGTGTATGATGTAAACGATCCATTTGAGAGGTATCAAATTGCTATCAGCCAACATGAAAGAAGAACATGATTGGGAAGACCATTTTGTCACCTACCTGGTAACCTGAATACATATCATTATACAGTTGTGATAGACATTGTATCTCAATTAATTTTGTATTTCAACTGTTCCCAATATATATTTACAGTAGCAAACGAAGAATTGAAAAATTGAAAAAAAATAAGACACAAATTTCAAACCTTTTTATATTTAATGAGATGAGAATGTTGAACAAATATGATAGACATTTACTGTCAATATGATCCCAATACACATACTTTAATACAATGCAAGTTAACAGAATCATTTTGGTTGCCCTTACAGTTCTGCTCGAAATTATGATTGTTCAACAAGCAGTTTAGTATGTTATTTTCTTTGATATATCATGGGTTTGTCAATTAAATATTTTTCTCAGATGACCTTAAAATAAAAAAGCTATCAAACAATCATGTTTACAGCATATATATAAAACAATGTAATGCTCCCGACACAAATTCATTATCAACAAGGAATATATTTTGTATCCTATTAGACATTCTATTGTCAATTTAAATGCTTGTTAGAATCCTAACGATTTTTCAAACAGCTGTGAATTTTCTAGATTAGCATACAGTGAAGGATTTCTAAAATTATCAAAAACCAAACATGCTCAAAACAATATCATTTTTACCATGCTTTGGTTTTCTTTCATAATACATAAATGTCACTGTAATACACAATTTTACTGTACTTAACAATAATAAAAACAAAAGTTGACCTGACAATTAATCCCATGCCATGTAGGACCCCGATCAAAATTCAACAAAATTACAAACTCTGTTTTAAACATATTTGCATCAAGTATGAAAACAAACGAATATATCAAGAAAATGCACTTGAACTTTGGGATGTGAAAAAATATTGTTGTGACTGAAGGAATGTCACATCCCAAGATATTTTCAGAGATTCTCCGCTGTATAGGGTATCCTCATTCCCAAGAAAGCAGTATCGGGATTGAAATTCCTTCGTCAAAATTCAGCTAGAACTGAATGTAGAACCTTCAGTTAGTATAACCTTTGCCTTCCTCTTGTATTTAAATCTTGTCACACATTCTTTCATGGGTTATAAGCCAAAACTACCGACCAATCGGTGTAAAAGATGCACATGCTTTGCTCAATCTTCTTTAATCTAATTCTCTTCACATAATATGAACAGACTTACAAAGACAGATGAATACTTCCTATTGTCAATAAAATCATATGTCCCATGAAGCTATTCACAGACATAAATTTAAAGTGTATGAGCAAAGAAAACATTTTGCATGTAAATAGTGTAAAAATGTATGAGCACACATGATGCTGCACATGGATAAATTTTGACATTATCAGTATATAAGAAATATTCAACATCACATATAAAACAAAAATAACCATGAAAATAGAGCATGTCTGACGGCCAGAATTAAATCATCTGTTTAATCTGTGAATGTTAAAATCTGTGTAGTACAATTTCAAGAGTTCAATAAAAATAATGTGGTAAGCAGATTTTCTTCTCATCGCATCACAGGAGCTGCTGTTGGCATGTTTGGAAACATCCCTGATGGATAACCAGCCTGTAGGGCTTGTGATGAGGGCAATAAGAGCTGGTTAACTCGTGTGGCCTCCGGGAACAACGAGTGGTAGTTAGGCAAGGGAACATAGGCTGCTGTTATCATTTTTCCTGCAAAAAATCAAATCAATAAATGAATAATGAGGCCCAATCAATCTGAATCACTCGCCTGACAATCAATGTTCATCAAAAATAGAATCAGTGTTATCATAAATACATTTACATGTACATCGTTGGCATTCAAATACCACCATCCATTCAATTTTAACCGATTTTCACAACAAAAAGCTTCTTATACTCAACTTTAAACAGTAACAGTTATGGCATGGAGTATAATTTATCAAGATTTGTTGGGCCTTTACCACCTGATCACAAAATACTGATGGATTACAGGAAGTCTTTTACAGGTTTTGTGATTCAAAGTTATTTCTTTTCATAACCTTTGTCAGGCATTATTTTCTTTTCAAAATTTTTCTTCAAAGGAAAAAGGGGAACTTGCCTCCAAAATATCGGCCATGGAGTGCATTAACAGATGCTACAGCTGCTGCGATTGTTGGGCATTTAACATAGACATTTCCTTGGGGTGAAGCCTTATCAACGAAAATATGTAGGACTCCTCCATGCTTGTTGCATTCATCAATGACATCATCCCGTATCTCCTGATCCCAGTTAGTCCGTGATTCTCTGTTGAGCAAAATAAAATTCAACATTCAAATCCAAACAAAATTTGGAGGAAGAATTCATATCATGAATAAATGTTCATGGGAAAGGCTGTCCATAAACAGAAATGCTGATGCCATGACTTTTCCATCTGATCATATTGTGAACAAGCTCATACAGTATGAGGTGAATATGTGGATCTCCACAGTTTCCATAAAATAATTCAAAACTAATCTCTCTTACAAGGGTCTTCACATGCCTGTACATACATGATGGGAACCTTAACCAACAGGAAAAAATTATTTGAGAATCATTATCCCAAATGCAAGGACAAACCCGATTGTTTATCCTGTTAGCCAGGTGACAACCATTTCAAAACTATCATTTTCTTAATGGATAGTATCAAATGTTATGACCTTTATCCACCCAAGTAATTTCTTCTATCAGACATAATCAGAAGGAGAGTTCAAACCAAATATGAAATTCCTTAAGATATTAATTTGGGAGGATAGTTGCAACATAATCATTTTGACCTCACTTAATCTTGAATCTCAAGGACCTAAAAATCCTTCTCTCTCCATTGGTTTTATTTCAAATGCTGGTACTTAATTATAGCTTAAACTTTTTGGTGAAATTACAGTAAAGATATTTGAAGCATACACTTCAAATTTGATCATTTAGGACAGAGAGCATGAGTAACCAATTATCTTTTTATATTTTATACCAGCTTTTGTATATGACAATTTGCTTTTAATAGCACTTCCAATACAAAGACTAAATTGCCTTCTAATAACTTCAATTACAAAAGTAAATCCAACACACAATTGTAAATGTACCACTTACGAGTTGGGATCAAACATATTAGACAACATGAAGCACTGAGTAGCTATAGGTGGAGCGGAGGTGGTGGTGGTAGCTGCTGTGGTTGGTGGAGCTGGCTGGCCTACAACTGCAGCCATACTAGTTGTTGCTCCTGTAGAAGCATTCCCTGAACTCCCTGCATTCAATGCATTTGCAGCATAGTCTGGAATTTGAAATCCAGTTCCTGGAAAGAAAACATTTATTAATGAAATTCATTAAAATTTCTCTTCCTTCAATTTCTTTGAACCATTACACCAGAATTCTAGAAAATATTTCACCCCACACACTCTATTTCATTTGATGTATTACTATGCTTCTGTTATCATTAGGTATAATGCCATGCCCTATATTGAGAGGGTGCCAACTTTCGTATATGGTTTAGTAAGTATGTGTGGCTACCACATAAACATCTATAATTTAATTATTATCTTTTGAAAATCTGAGCTTGTGCAACATATTGCCTTAATAGTATCGTGACTTTGATCCTTCATTTACGGTTTTACTAGCAGCTGTGGAATATGACAAATAGATGGTGTTAAGCTATCTCATCATCTTTTCAGATGTACCTTCTGCTAACTTTGCCATCAGTTGTAGTCGCCCTGTTGCTCCCAAGTCAATGCCAGCCCTGTCCATCTCATCACTGTCTAACATTGATGCTCCTTGAGCTTCTCCCGTTCTTTCTGTGACGTGGCCAACTTTCATGGGCCGTCCAGCCAGTTCAAAACCATTCAACTGCTCCAAGGCCTTCTTGGCATCTTCTGCATCCTTGAACTACAAAGCAATTATAATGGATTTTAATTTTAAACTACAAAGATTACAAGTTCCTGGTAGAGAAATGACAATGATTGGAGTTCTATTTCTCTATGAAACTTAAACTTTCATTATCAAATTACCACAATAAAAATCATTTTAGCAAAATTCTATCCATTTAGAGAATCTTTGTCAAATTTGGCATTGACATATGAACATATATTATTTTGGAGGGGGAGGGGTTAGTGTACTTACAGAGATAAAGCCATATCCCTGAGACCTTGATGTCTCATGATCACGAATTAACTTGATATCTTCAATCTGAAAAGGAATGATTTAAAAGAAATCTTAAAACAATTATGAATGAATTTTAATAATCACAAAATTTTGTCCCATTGGTTGGTTGAAAATGCAATACAGGAAAAAAAAGAGAAAAGAGAATCAATCTTTGAATGTTTCAAATCTTAAAATAATGATATTAGACAACATCCTGGATGATATGGATGTTAAAATGAACATTCAGTTTTACATCAGATCTGACAAAATTTCTTTTTAATATGCAGAGTACGTTAAAAACTACAAGTTGAAAAACTAGTCTTTCAATGTATGCTACATGCAAGACAGAAAAGTGGACTTACTGCACCAAATGGTTCGAATATTCCTCGCAACATATCTTCAGTAATATTGAAATGTAAAGATCCCACATATAATCTCATTGGACCAGAGTTGCCTTTTTGTAGAACATTTGCTGCATTAGCTAGTCTATTTTTCTCTGCTTGAGAAGGCTGAACTATAATTGGAACACCTAAAAGTTTTTGGTTTGTTAATCCAATGGCTAATGGCACTGACTCTGTATCTTGAAACTCTACATAGGAAATTCCTTTTGATCTTCTGGTCTTGTTATCCATGATCAGACGAACATCTCGCACCTGAAATGGATGAACGTGAAAGTAAAATTTGGTAAAAACCATTTTCAATACAATAGAAATGTCCCAGAGGTTTATTTGGAGTCTCCTGTTTCCATGCAACAGAAATATGCCAAAAATTTATCTGAAGTTTACTTTTATTTTCTTCCATACAACAGAAATGTTCAAAAAGATTTATTTGGAGTTTCCTGATTCTAAACAACAGAAGTGTCATAGAGGTAGTTATGGATTTTCTTTATGACTTTTGTTTAAACAGGATTTAACCCACTAAACAACAATGCAGACAAAATTTTGTGAAAAAATTTCCAGGACTCGGATTTTCTTTCAGTATTGGTACCAGTCATATAGTTTCATTCCCAATTTGCATTTAAGTGTTAGGAACAAAACTGAAACTACCTGATAGTAAATCTTGTTATGAAGTGGAAGATGGCACAAGAGGGTGCCATTTTGTGATTTGCACCAAATTTCCTAAATTTTTCCTCACTAAATGTAGAGATAATTTATGTTATAATTACAAATTTCAGTGCATCACTTTGCTCTGCATATTTTAAAATATTATATACAGAAATAACTTACCTTTCCAACTGAAGAAAAGAATTCTTCAAGATCCCTTGGACGAATTCTGGCAGAAAGCTGCATGCAGAAAACAGTTCTAGCATCCCTTTCTTCTGGTGTTAATTCTGGACCTGGCTGCCTGTGATAAGTAACCAATAAAGATTGATAATTCAACAAATATCTGATAATTAGCACCTTATTTTTGTTTATTCTCTGAACCACCTTACATTGGTCAAACAGTGATTCAAGTAGTGAAGTGACTCATTTCTAGTACGCAAAGATAAATTCAAACAAGTTTTCAAAATCTTACTAACAAACCATATGTTCTACTATTCAAGTCAGAATTCGGTGCAATAAAATATTCATTAACTCCCTGGACAACCATTTTAGAAAATTTTTACATCATTAAAACACCTTGTGGTAAGATTTCACATCATAAAATGTTGCATCCTGATCAATAAACGTAGTTCTGCTTTGAATGAGAAAATACAGCTGTTTAAGTACATCTTATTATCAAATTCAGGAAAAAAAAAAAATACTGATTCTGGTAAGGTATTGCCATGATTATTCATAACTTCAGTTTTAGGCCATAAGTTTTATTCACAAAAATAGTTAGTGCATGTAACAGGGCACCTTTTCTGCAATCAACAAGGTTTTCTGGATACTTAGAGATGAAGATGCTTTTTGAGATTTTCACAATATTGTTAAATGAATTTCATCTCTTGATTTTATTCACACAGTGAAAATACATCCAGTTCAGAATCTGAGTCATCCCAAACATATTTTGTCAAAAAAAAAAAAAAAAATTAAAAAAATTGGTACCCCTGTCATACACCAGAAAATTCTAATGTTAAATGTAATGTCATGCAAATATGTCTTACATGAAGTACTGTCTGTGCATGTTTCATCACAAAAATATTAATCAATGGCAGAATAGAATCTATTTTATTGAGGTTTCATTTGGCAGACAAGATTTGGAGATATATTCAAAAGGAATTGGCGAAACAAATATTTAACAAAGCCAAATTCTGACTCGTATACCTGTTATTTAAAGCAAAGAATAATAAATGTCTTGTACTTTACAAATCACAATTACTCATATCTGCACTACCTTGTGTATCTGTAAGGGCTTCTACTGCTACTACGTCCTCGTCGATCCCGGAATCTGATTGGTGATGGACTCCTGCTCCTCTTTCTCCTTTCCCGACTACGACTTCGCTTCTTTTCCTTTCGTCTTTCCCTATCCTTACTGCGACTCCTTCTACGCTCCTTTCTTTCACGGTCACGGTCTCTACTCCTACTCCTTAACAAAATAAAATGGCACATTTTTACTTGTTTTCTTCCAGCTTAAATATTAAATATAAAATACAAGAGAAGCCTGACATTAGATCAGCTCTGATTTTAACTTTTGAAATGAAATTGAAGTACGAATATATACTGAACCACTAAGTTTAACATCAAATACATTATCTTCCTTCAGATTTATACCTTTTTCTTTCCCGGTCTTTTCTTTCTCTATCACGATCCCTGTCTCGATCTCGGTCTCTATCTCGATCTTTCCTGTCTTTTTCACGATGGCTGTGACTCTTTTCCCTATCTCTGTCCCGGTCTTTACGATCCCGATGCTTTCTGAAATTTAAAATCAAGTATTTCTTCAACTTCCCCCGAGTACAAAAAAAGTTCAACCTGTTTATTATACAAGGAATCAAATCAGGACAAGAAAAAGGCCGACATGGGTACCAAAATAACTGATATAGGATAAAATGGAAGGGATTCAGCATTTAAAAGGGTTTCTTTTTAATTTTCCCTTCCCTGTCGCACGCATGCTTTTTATTCAAATTTCATTAATAAGAATGATGATAATCTCTCATTCTTATCATGATCAACAACACCATTACATGCTGTAGTAAAAACAAATTCTAAAATGTGAATGAAAAGTATGGTTTTGAGAAAACTGCTTTGACAAATGTTGGGTTTCCTTACATCAGCAACATGGAATTTACATATAACTGTTTGTATACATGTTAAAAATGTGTATATAGCTATAAAATCTATAACAAAGACTGCAAATCTGATCAATAGCGATCATAGTAGTTTTACCTTTAACCAATTCATAAATAGCTTGTTGCAGAACTTTTCATATTCATACAATCCTTAAGCATTTAACAGATGAAAGAACCTGATAAAATTCTAGAGGTCATAGGGCGAGTTTTCAGGAGCATCGAGAGCAAGGAGTAAATCCAGACAAGGTAAAAATCCATAAAATTCCAATGGCCTGGCTATTCAAAGCAACACATCATCTGTGTGTAACGCATGCTATTACCATGTCCATCTTGGATGTGTGGAGACCACTTACTGAGCCATGAAGATCTGAGACTTAGTTTTTGGGCCCTTACATTTCATCCAACGTACCTGATCTCTGGGATTGCCTTACAGCAAGCTTTTATGTCATGAAAACGTTCTGATCATTGTCTCTCCCTTATCAGAGGACCGAAAGTGATAGCACCTAGTAATACATACAGACAGAATCAAACATTAGACTCCTTCACAAGATGTATTTTAGGAATACAAGACTATGAAATCAAACCACTCCTTGTCCACTCGCCTGAGTCATAGAGGGTGAACCTAGAATACAACAATTTGGAAAAAAAAAAAAAAAAAAAAAACCTGCTCCTTCCAGGGGCTTAAGTTTCCCTACATCCCTTTCTATGAGTATAATTCCTGTGAAAGAATGGAAACAGACTTCCTGTTATGGGTTTCTTCCCAGTGAAGAGGTCAGTGTACTTTTTAAAATTTTAGATCCCTTCTCTTCAGTACCTACATGAGAAGGAAACACCAGAATGATTAAGAAACAATGAATCTGCACTTTAACTAAAAAGGACATTTTCACATTCCATTTCCCCAAAAGAAACCATATGATAATGTATCATATTGAGGTCAAGAGGACTCCTGCAATAAGAAACGAAAATGTTCAGGCCCTCATTGGATTTTTCAGTCAAACTCTTGACAATGTACCATGAATGTTACCTGCAATAGCAACAAAAATCTGTAGTAAATCTAGCATGTTTATGTGGGGAGGAAAAACTACGTCCAACTAATTTCATTCCATTATGTGTCACGTCTAAATTAAGGTTAAGTCAAATTTTTGGAAGAAAATGTGTATCAGGCATTATAAAATTTCCAGTTGACATCAGTTTAATAAAAGGGATGTGTGAAGGGATAAGATTAGTTCAGAATAATTGAACTGTAACTGAAACTTGGTACATACCTTTTATCCCTCTCAGATGAAGCATCCCCTCTTCCATCATCCTAGGATGTCCAAACAAACAGCAAATCAGAAATGGCACAGACAGCAGATGGAAATTAAAAGTTGGGAGAGAAAGAGAAAATAAATGATCTCATTAGTTTTTTTGTCTTTTAAATATCCAGACTGTTAATCTGGTGACAATTTCTTCAATGTAAAAAAATGGAAATACTTGAATTACAATACATTTTACCTGTCTTTCTCTACATAGCAATAGTTGATATAAGGCAGCTGAAACATAAAAAGTGCAAAAATTCCATACTCCACACCTCTCATTCATGCAAAGGAAGCCTCTGTATCGAATTGTTCCAATTATTTTTATATGTACAAACCATCCAGGTGAACTAACCCCCCTTTTAAACTAAAATTTACAGCAGTCTGTAAGGTAATGCTTTCTAAAATATAAATGAAATAAACCAGTTTTTCTCTTTTCATTATTTCAGAAAAATATTCAAAAATCTAACATTTAAAAACAGGTTGACAGTGTCGGTCAACAGTTGGAATGTTTTTAATTTTCTTTTTTTGTGTAGCAAATTAGAAAAACATTAACTTTGAGTGCCATTCTGAACAAAAACTTCTCAGTAATTCCACTTATTATTTTCTCAGGTTGTATTGATTAGCTGTTGCTAAATTTCCTTTTTAAATCTTTAACAAAGAAGATGCACTTTTGTGATCATTTTATATATCCATAATGGTGAAATATAAGAGTTCTGAATCTTAAACTGCTAAAAACATAATAAGAAAACCCAACTATCCTCTAAAATTAAATCTACATCCTTAATGTATTATATGATGATCAGGATAAGAAATGAATGTATCATATTCTATTTAAGAACTTCAGTGCACCTCTACTTGTAAAACACATCCCGTCTTATTTTCAAGAAAAAACGATGGACGTGCTTAGTCAAAGCCTGTGAAAAGCCTTTTAACACTTTGTCACCAACAAACTGTACAGCTGAAATTTTACATCCTGCAACCCCACACTTAAAAAAAAAAAACAATAAAAAAACAAAAATTGAACTGTTGAGCTAGCAAGTTTTACATTGCCATGAGCATTTTTTGATTCAATTGATGTCCATTCACCCATTGTGATATGGTGTGCACTATGCCTTAGGTGGAATATGGTATATGATGAATCAATCAGGAAATTATACAGCTAATCAATACAAACACCAAGAGCACACATAGCAATATGCACTTCAACGTAACATTCACACAAATCTGGGACATAAATTTGGCAACATGTGGCAATGATCTTCGCTTTTGTTAATTACAAGGGTGGCTTGGAGTTTCCTTCTGCAGCAATCTGGTCAGCTTCTTGCCAAAAGCCATCAGGTATCCAACCCTAAGACGAGAGGGATGGACAGAATTCAGTTTGCTGTTCATTACTTGGTCGTGTATACATCTTTTAATTTCAAAAATGCAAATTATTTTACCCCTTACATAAAATGAAGACAAAAAAATTTTGTAAGAGTTTAAGACAGATCAGGCTACTCTTTTTCTGCTTCATCCATCTATCAACCAACATTGGTGTTAACTTCAAAACACTTTTTCTTGAAATATTATATGTGTTAACTTTCATATTTTACATTGTTTTATTACAGATTACTTAATACAGGAATTCTGACTACATATTTTTGGACTTTACAGACAAAAAAAAAAAGACAAAAAAAAAAAAAAAAAAATGTCAATAGCACAGCTTCTTCACAATCAGATTGTAGTACCTGAACTTGCAAACGTGTCGCTTTGGAGTACAAGCCGAACAAGGGATATCTACAGATAAAACCAAACAAATTTTCTCATTATAATAGTATGTATTACAGAGAATGTTTTACTAATTATTTCAAATGTTGATGCAAGGCAAATAATCAGAAACTTAAATTGGTAGAAAAATAACAAAATTTGAGTGTTAGGAATTGAATTAACAGAAAAATATTACTAAAATGCAAATTCATATTTACATGACACGACCAACTATCAGTGTCCAGACAAGGAAAATGAACAGACTTTTCCATATGATTTGAGAATTCCACAAATATTTTGTTATGTATCACATTCAACAGCTCACCACGAACAGAAAACATTCAAACCAATTAATTTGACGATGTCCGAGAGAAACTAGATTTTTATGTATATAATCATTTTCACATCCATACAAAGCAAAACATACGATGTCCATTTTATAGCCATGTGCGAGATTTTTCAAGTCTTACCATCATCACTTATGTCTGATACTGCATTTGGAACATCCCTCAACAGAACTACATTTATCAGACTCAATTTATCAAAATTTCATCAACAGAAACCTATGTAAATTTAAGCAATGAAGAGTGAATTGATGTCAATTCATACAAAAGAAGAAATACAAATAAAAGAAGCATTAATGTCATTACAATTATAACAAAATGTGAAAAAAACGGAGACAAAAAATTTCTCTGATTATATGATTTCCAAAAATGTTAGTCCACTATTCTTTTGTTTTATATTTATTTTTGAAATTGACAAAACCATTTCCACACCACACACACAATTTGAAAAAAAACAAAACAAAACAAAACTGGAATACAACTTAAAGAATAACATTTAAAAAAAAAAAAAAGAAAAAAAGAGAGGAACAACGTCCAAGACGTGTCAAAATGAAGTTATATTTTGGATTAGTAGTATATTGATACAAACCTCTTTTTTGTATGGAGCCTCCAGCATTGCTTCTACATCAAAGTCGTCAGCCATTGTGTTTAAAGAATATCCTGCAATAATATATATATTACGCATATATATATATATATATATATATATTTTTTTTTCTTATTAGGCAAGAAAATTGACTTGAAATATTTCAGTTTCACTTATATATGTATACATTTACAGTTCAAGTCTTATATGTACATTTCCTTTATCCATATTCCTATATACAGTAACAAATGTACTCCAGAGTTTAAATGGGGTGAAAGATTTTCTGAAAGTTAAAAAATTATACATTGCTAGACACACCTTTTTTTGATCCAGGGGTTGGGGGTATGATCATCTATTTAAGCCTCTACTAACTTGACTTCCTGATCAAGGGATTGGGTCATAGTTATCTTTGTGAGCCCTTGCTCATTTTGTCTTTCTGATCAAGGGATTGGGGGGGGGGGGGGATAATTGTTTTTGTAAGCTTCCTGATCTATGGATGGAGGGCATTGACTCATGAAAATAAACTGTAGACTGACCACTGTATTTAACTTAAACTGAAATTCAATTTATAATCAACAGATAAATCATCATTTTGACTGAAATATCATTGTTTTTGTGCCAATAACATCATTATATATTAAATTACACATCATAATGTGTAACATGGTCATCTAAAACAATATAAGTAAAACTGCTTTGATTTTTGTACATGAATTGCTAGTCAGTGATCAGAAATTATTGTACAAAAACAAGTTATGGTACCATCTCAGCTTATGAAATTTTCAGTTAATATCATTTGTATGAAGCTGTCAGTTGCTTCTTTCTGATTCTATAGTGGAACTGACAAGTTATACTCAGGCCTTTATTTTCTGATTAGTGAGAAATCTACCCTTTTCAAAGCCAAATTTGCTTTGGGACAATTTTTTATGGGTAACTTTGAAATAAAGAAAAAATGGCTACATGGTGGTGCATTTAAGGATGGCGTTTTTGCATATCAATATAAGTAATGTAATTTTTGGCATAGTTTTCGGAGTCGCTTGAATAAAATTTGCCATATTGACTTTATAGAACAAAAAATCAACACGTATATCCGATAATTTCAGTTTCAAATACCAGAAATTTGTTATTGTAAAAGCAAACAAAGAGAAAAAGTGTCTTTCACAGGCTACCCACCCGAATCATAACACGTCAGTAAACAAACATGAGGTGCGGGGTGGGGGGGGGGGACTTTCACTGCATTTTAAGAAACCTTCAGTCAAAACCAAACTTGTCTAATATTCTTAAAACATACAGTGTCAATCTACATATTCCAGAAGTAAGTAACATCGACTGAGTACAACGTGTTATATTGCGCTTGGCGTTGGCATTATCAAACCGGCTTTACCTATTTGTCCTTGGATTTCGGACGAGCTTCTGGTCACACACTGTG